ACCTCAATGTCTGATGTTGCGAAGTGAACCAAATTGTTTGATGCGCGGCGCAGCCTTATGGTCAGTAATGCGTCGCTCTTTGCTCTAACCAGAGCCCTCTCGCTTGCAGTAGCGCGCGACCAGCTTGTAAGCAGGAAAGCGAGTCCATGCAGTACCGTAGGCACATGCGATGTGAACGCGCTCTAACAGTACAATGTAAGTCGCTTTGTATGTAATTGACCGTTGTTAATGGTCTGTTTATCAACATTTAACGTGGATTACTCGTAAAATATCTGACCGACCGACGATCCAACTCGGCGCGCGTCCTGGTAGGTTGTAAACCTACAAATCAACATTAAAGCCTGGGGTCCTCAGGTAATTAATATATTTCGAGAAGAAAGCGGCGCGCGCTACTTCGAAGAAATTTAGACGAGTAACATCTATCCGTCAATGTATGTAATCAGTAATGATTAGCTAACACATATGTACCTGCAATACTTAGTTTAAAGTTTAAATGTTTTATGTTGGAATTATTGAATAATCCACTATAAACAATAAATAATTTTAAAAATAATTACAATCAATTCAATATTTTATTTAACGGGTGATACTCGTAAAATATTTGTTTCAAATATTAGGACCGTCGACGAGTCCAACTCGGCGCGCATCCTGGTAGGTTATAAATACCTACAAATAACAATATTTTATGCAAATTGAGCAAAAGGTCAATAAAATTTTAAATAATTAAACTGTATTTTACTAAAATTCTTACTGTTCAAATTTTGGTTGATTGGATTATATTATACTTTTATTTAGAGCTAGGGAGTTGAATCATATTTAATTGTTTAAAAGTACCCGAGCCCCACTATATAATAGCGAGCCCATGTTGATCTATCCCAATTCAAATAACACCCGTTGCTTTGATTTCCTAACCCTAACCCTAACACTGAGCCTAACTTTAATCCTAACCCTAATCCTAACCCCTTGGATGGGCCCATTTTAGTGTTTACCGAAGTGGGCATTACTGAATTTAGCTGTCTGGGCTGAACATTATATTGTTTGAATAGTTTATTATTTTTATTTTTAATTCATATTTGTATCAATGTTTGTATCAATGTTATGCTACTATACCGCATAAACTGTCACAGAGTAAAGGATTTTTTAGATTTGTATTGAATATCTGATAACGGCAGTTTATCAGCACTCGACTATATTTGGAACTGTCTTTATTATGTTAAACAATTGTGGATGTTGTTTAATACAATATGACAAAGTCCGTGAAATCAGTGAATGAGGCGATCAGCTGATCCTGCAAGCGCAAGCTGACTAGATCCCGCAGCTCTTGACAGGGCAGATTACAACTTCAGCTCCCAAAAGAGTTACAAGTTAGAGCCTTGAAATTTTGGGAGTTGATCCGGTTTCAGCTTCTTAACATAATCCACTTTATTCGAACAGTGAACTGCCACATGTATAATAAGCTTTTTAAAAGAACTGTGATCAGTACCCATTTTGGTTCAAATGAAAAGGTTCCCGATGGAGTTTTGCCCTGAACTTTTAACCGCAGATTTTGAAGCATTGAATAGCACATGACTTGAGAAGTTTCAAGTTGTTAATTCTGAGGTCAAGAAGTTAATTCTGAGGCGATTTATTTATTATTAAATCTAAAATAGCTAATAATTTAATTCATTATTAACAGGCCCCTTAACGTGAGCAATAACATACGCTTTATATTCTGAGGCAAGTTTTTTACAAAAGTCATTTGGATGTGTTAATTTGGGACACCCTGTAGCTGCATTAGAATGTGATGATATTACTATATATGTGATGATATTACTATATCTCTACCACCTGTTTGACGTGTGATGCGGACTTAAGCAAAAGGATAGCCTATATGAATATAAGTTAGTTTTGGTTTTTTGTATATATAATATTACCATTGCTGAACTACACATATAAAAAGGCGTTTTGACTAGAATCCTCGTAATTCTTTGCATCATTTATTAAATCATTTCTGAGAAATTATATCATAAAGCAACAATCACAAATACAATCATATACAATTGAGAATATATACAAACTAAAAGAAGTGGGAAAATCTGATGAACGGAAATTTAAAAAAGGAACTAAAAGCTGGAAAAATATACTCTTATCTTATCTCATATCTAAATACTGATAACTGATTCTCAGATAATCACTTAAATTCATAAAATAAACCTGTAAAATGTATACTAAAGTAAAAAATATATATAGTAAAAAGTAAATATATATATAATTTTTCTACCAACTTCATTGTGGAGTTTTGTTTGCATAATTTTCTTGTTCATCTCCCCTAAGAATCTGTTCAAATGACAGTTCGCGCCTTAGCAAGCTCATCCTTTAGTGGACTTGGTAAATATTGAGGAGATGGTAGATTTTTTTGGCTCTTGAAACATCAATTTAAGAAGCTTAGACCATTCCTGCCTTGGTATGCCAATTATGGTGGTGTCATCAAAATTTCCTCCAATGATAATAAGCATTTAGAGAAAATCAAATAAACTTTCATTGTGATGTAAAATTTCATCACAAAATGTCACAGTTTTATTCCTTTTAAAAGTGATCCAATGATACCCAAAATTTTACTTTTTTTATCCAGAACCCCTCAATCTGTTTCCAGAACCCCCAATCTGATTTGATGTTTGTTTTATAATTGCGGTTATTAACAAAATAATATTTTTCAGGTTACCAGTGAAATGTCATTCGATAATGTATCACAAACATCTGACTATAGCAGCGGTTCTGAAAAATCCTCTACTCGACCAACAGTGATTCCCCTATACAGAACTCATGTGCTCAATAGCTATCCTTGTTCTGAAAGGAGTAGTGCCCCCAATAGAACTAGTCATGCACCTGCTGATGTTGCTTTGAACTAGTATACCCATCAGTCTAGAATATCAAGAAATCACACTCAGGGCAAACTGGGCTTTCAGCAACAAAATTGCACTGACATGAACCTAAAACCTGTACCAAATGGAATTGATATTCATTCTAATGCTCTCAATTCTCAGCTGAAAGGTCTGGTGTGTGAAAATGCCATGTTGAAGAAGGAGGTTAAAGTGCTTCATGATAAGTGTCATAAGATTGAACTGTGTGAGAGACAGTTTGCAAGTCTGCACACTCAGTACCAAGAGTTTGTTAAAACATCATCAAACAGGCAGGGACTTGAAAGGCAACTCAGGCTTCAGTTAGAGGATGACTTGAAATGAAGCTCTGAAAGCAAAATCGAAAATGAATTTGCCTAAAGTTACAATTTCAAATTTTTCACAGACTGATGAAATTGCGGGTATCCCCCATGATGATGGAAGCAACCGGGAACAACAGCTTTCCAAGGAGGTTTCAGCATTGAGGCTGATGCTACGAGAAAAAGAAGAGCTTATATTGAGCTTGTTAAGTGAGCGAAATTCAAAGAGTACAGCTTTCTGCCCTGAAGATTATGATGACGATTATATCGCATCAAATATTGTTTCGTTGTAATCAACATATTCTATGTATACTGCGATGAGATGATAACGTGACACATTTAAATGTCCTTTATATTTTCTGAAACATCCAATGTTAAAAATTTTCTTTACACAAGGATTTATCTTGACTTATTGTGTACCCACTACCCATGCCCAGGTATTAGACGTGTAATTTATGTATTAATGATTACAGTTTATTTAAAATAAATAAATTATTCAGACTGAATTTTCTCTTACACTGTTTTAATATCATGGTCAGAAGTAACGATTTTAACGAGAGTATTTATGAGCTTTGGCAATTTTTAAACAATAATCATCAGATAGAAATGATGTATTAATGTTTTAATTGAATTTATCGCCTATTTTACATGTGTTTGTCATTTTCTACCAGAATTTTATTGAAGTTATATTTAAATGCTTTTCCTAAAAAACTTAGTAGCACTAGATACTTCTAGCATTAGAGTTAGCCTTTTTATGGGTTTTGAACCCAGTCATTTTTGTCTCCATTTTGTAACTATTCGCTGTGATCACTTCAATTAGTGATAGCCTGTGTTTTTTCACTCAAAGAATGTATCTTTGAAATTTTAATTTTACACTTTGACCTCTGATTGGATTTGAATATCGCACATCCTGGATTTAAATATTTTCAGAAGACGAATTGGATACATGGATTTATTTATTGATTCAGATTTTTACTGTTAGCAAACTTTGAACTGTCTACTATTTATGAAACAAGATATAATTGCATGCATGATTGTACAATTTACTATTCCCTAGACTCTCAGATAGAATTCACGAATTTCCAGTAAGTAATAATATTGTAAAGCTCTGACGAGACAGTCCTAGTAATTAATATGATAAGCCTTAAGAATTGTCCACCAGTGGTATGATCTATTTAATTGGAACATAATTTATCTATAATGATCGTAATTTGACGTAAATAGCATGGCTAATTTATTTCAACATCAATTTCGAGCCCTTTTTGAACGAGGGTTTGACTTTTAATAACCATAATCATTTTTTGATTATGATAACTGTGGTGATTAAATATTTATTGGTTTGTCATAAAAATATTTAACAATATATCCGATATAATGGTTAAATAACTAATAACTATAAAATATTATTTGTACAATTCTAAACAAGGCATATTTATGATTTTTCTGATTTGAACAATGTATTTAGTGTTTTATTCACTGCGTTATCTATCAAGGTCTTTCAAACTTCAAAGATATTTGTGCAATTTGATCGTTATAAGAGCCAATATGTAAAATGCTAGCATAAAATTATTTATGATGAAAATTGAAACTCAAGTTCAAATTAATTATTTTATTCTATCATACTAAGCTGCTCAACACCGAATGGTCAATCAAATGAAAAATAGCTGTCCGTATCATTACATAACGTGACTGAATTTCTAACTTTGTCAAATATTTGCAAAAACGTATACATAATCTTAGCATGTCCTTCTTGTAGTAATCTCAGATAAGCGCATTGTAAGCATGTATAAATAATTCCAATCTTATTAGAAAATGTTAGCAACAAGATTATATGCGAAAAGTATCACAGTGGGGAGAGGCCTGGTCTCGTCTACTTTATATCAGTCAAGAAAACGTCGAGCACTCATGTACATGCCAGGCGATGACATACGGAAGATAACCAAGGCAGCATCCCTGGACCTGGACCTTGCAGTGCTGGATTGTGAGGACGCAGTTGCTGTTAGTAAGAAGGCTGCTGCTAGAGACACAATTTGTGAAGCACTCAATTCTCTGAGTTTTGGGAGAACAGAGAGGGGTGTCCGGTCAAACAGTGTTTCTTCTGGTCTGCTGGAGGACGATATGAAATCTATCCTGTGTAATACCACTCCACCCGACATTGTCATGGTACCTAAACTAGACTCGGTTGACGAAGCTCGCTTATTGAATACCATCATATCAGAATGTACTTCTGAACCAATTCCAGTGATATTCCAGACTGAATCAGCTATGGGTCTCATCAATTTGCACGAAATAATTAAGACACTCATTAAAGCAAGTCACGTGATCCCAGTGGGTATTGTATTCCGGGCAGATGATTATGTGAGTGATATAAGAGGTAGCAGGGATATTGACGCAGTTGTTTATGCTAAGCAAAAAATAGTGACTTACTCACGGGCATACAATTTGCAGCCAATTGACAGAGTTCACATTGAGTACAAAGATTTGGACGCCTTAAAATTAGAATCAGAAAAAGGGTTTGGATTCGGTTTCTCCGATAACAGGATTCACCCTTCACAAAAACCTACGAACAGTCACATTCGTCTCGCTTCAATGATCAGTTAAATATTCCCGTGAACTGATTAGATCGTTTGCTGAAAATCAGAACGCTGGTAAAGGTGCCTTTACTTTCAAAGGTAAAATGATTGATCGACCTACTCTGTTGCAGGCACAAAATGTTGTTGCTATGTTTGACATATTATGACGGGTTTATTCAGTATTGTCTCTGAAATTAGTTTGTAAATATCACGCATTTATAATTATATAGGTTTTGACAATGAAGTTCATTATTAATTGTTGAGGTTCCGGTTAGATTTTAACGTTTTCAAGTTCTTTTTTCCTAATTTATTATTTATTTGACCTTTTTATTTAAAGTCGTTAGCCGCCCTGGTTAAGACCAAACAATAACAACAACATACCTCAACTAGCTACAATTAATATGTTTACCTGCCAATCTAATCAACATCACACATCTGAGTATCAAAGTAGGAGTTGTGATTAAATATACATCAACAATCAACATTGGATAGTGCTGATCACAGAATGTTTTGTACATCACCACATTAACAATGACGGGGGAGAGGGGCCAGTACACTACTAGAAGCTTAGAAGATTATCAATACCTTAACAGTACATTCTTAGAGGAATATCTTACACTTGTAATTGAGTTATTAGCACCACAAACTTCCTTGGTGAGCCAATATCTAAATGTTCCTTTGCTAATGTATCGGTTTAAAAGGCAAATAGGTTCAATGCCGGCTAGTAGCCGGTTGGCATTGTATCTATTTGCCGTTTAATATTTTCTCGATTTAATCAAAATAAACTATGCTTCGATGAAACAGTACAATTATATCATATGCAAATTAGTCAAAGTTAAATCGAGTCTTTATCGTATTCCGAACAATAAAGATATTTGGAAAATTATCATAATATTCAAGTCTTTTGTTGTCTTGATTTATGAACGACCTTATAATATGTCATAAAGGTATAATTACAGATTACAGAAATTACAAAGACTTAAGACTGGACTTAGAAGAGCTATTATATTCAAATTTAGTGAAATAACTGAACATCAGCTTCGCGTACGGGTAAAAACAGTCTAACCAATATATCCATGAATCATGATACTATTCAAATAGGCTAATAAAGTCAGGAATTACACGAACCTCCGTTAAACTAATGAACAAAGGAGCAATATTGGGAATATTGACAATATCAGAGTAGCACCACTGTACTGATTTCTATGTGTTGCACTACTCAGTACTCATGCTGTACTAGGTCCTAGTTGTGTTGAATTCCATTACAGATATCTCCTTTGTATATTATAAGATCTATTTTAGTTCATGTAAGGATTTAGGTATCTTGCCCTTCTCCTGTGTTTATTAATGTTTCAACTACTTATAATTTAGATTTACGTGTAGGTTTAAGTCTTAAGGTTATACTAGGTGTTTTAAGTTCAGTCGAAATAGTATTGATAGCACTCGTAAAATATGTTAGTTCATGTCGAATGTTGCGGCAAGGAAAACATAAGAGTTCTTTTATGACAGATATTTGATGTTTTAACTTAGATCTACATATCAATAACAAACCTCTGTACACTAGGCTAAGAAGGAAGTCGGGCGCTAAGGAGCAGCGCCCGAGCAGAACACCACACGTCATGTTGCGATGGATGAAAAAATCAAACGCAAATGACTCGGACGCGTACACGTCAACCATAGATGGGATGAAGAAAGTGTACAAGAAGTTTGTGAGACCCCTGGAGGAGTTGTACAGATACCAGGAGTTTTATTCTCCACTTCTTACTGACAGGTTAGTTTTATTCGCTCCTTTTAGAGCGCTTCCATCTGGGATAATATAGTGGGGTATAATATTCTAGTGAGGTAATATAATATTTGTCGTGTTATTAGCTGGAATGATCTAGAACCTTCTGTGAGCACCTGCCTCATTCTATTTAACGTATCTGTGGTACGGTGTTTAAACGTACTTGTGTACTGTTTAACGTAAACTTGGGACAGTGTTTGTCTGTGAAGCATGACTTTATAGTTTGTAAATGTGTAATGTGTATGTTTGTAGATATGTTTGTACAGGTGTTTCTATGTGGTGTTATTGTGAAATAATGAAAATATTGTGGAACAAATGAACACCCCTGACCTGCGGAAAACTATTTCGTTCAATAAATTGGCCAATCATGAACTTTTATATCTTCAAAAATATCTTCCAGCCAACTTTGCACCAGAAAAATTATACATAATGTTAATTTCGGTGTTCGTGGCAGCTAAGTTGATCACTGAGCTAGCCTTGCTGCAAGCCATCAATTACATATTCATCATCATACATCCCGCCCAAAACTCATACTTTCGATTTTCCGACTCTGACGTTCGGAGAGAATGTACTCAGGTTTCTCTAAGTGTACTACGGAAAGGGCGTAACACACACCATTGACAGTTTCTACTTGTCACTAGAAACTTGCTACTCAGATTACCTACTCACCCCTGTTTTACATTCCTGATTACCAAATGTCTTAATAAATGTGGCCTGTGTGTGCGTTGTATCTCGTTAGGTACCCCCAACTGTTGATAACATATGTTACCGTGTAATGATAACACGTATTATTATCACGTCCACTGTACATATTTTAACACACCACACATAGTTACTAGTTAGCCATGTGTTCAGTTACCAGGCTCAAGTGTACCCTGTAAATTATGTGGGGTAATTTCACTGACTTGAACTTGCTTCTTGAGATCTGAGGGAACAGAGATTTACAAATAAATGTAGCGGAACTAAAACGGTTGGATTTACAAAAGCTAACGTATAAGTATATGTAGCTTCGTGTTTGAAGTGACTGTATGTTCGTAATTATAGCGTGTATATAATAATCTGTACGGTCCATGTTCGTAGATTAGTCCGAAGTCTCGGGGGAAAACTAGATTTAGGAAGTGATCAAGTCAATACCTGTCAAATACAACAACATCTAATAGTAACACTGTCAGATCAACCAATATCGTAATGTACTGGGTATTCCTTTCCAATATTGCTGCAAATGTACTCTCCCAAGTTGTACAGTTATTTAGGGTATGCAGTATTTACTACACGTCACTTTGAAACCATAGCGGTGAAAGGAATGTTAGAAATATTTGCTTTCACCTCCTGGAAACCACTTAACAACATAAACTATTTCAGTGATTTCGACGCTCCCCCACAGTGATGTTGTTGGGTCAGTACTCGACTGGTAAGACGACGTTTATAAAGTACCTGCTAGAGACTGATTACCCGGACTGAGGATAGGACCGGAGCCCACTACCGACAAGTTCGTGGCCATCATGCACGGGGAACAGGATCAGGTGAGCTCTCGTGTACATATGTGTGTGTGTGTGTGTGTGTGTGAATTGTGTGATTTAGCTCGCGCGGAGGGAGAGGCATGCAGAGCCTGGTGAATAAACGTGGAGTGCTGACTTGCAGTGAATGGTGAATTGTGTGAAACAAAGTTTGGTTGACAATTTATCTCTGCTGATTATCTTTTGATTTCACGTGAAACCGGGTTTGACAATCTAAGTCCCAAAATACCATCGCAAATGAGCTGGAAATTTAATTAACCTTTGTGATCAAATCGTAACTCCCCTATTTCGTGTAGGGAATGGTAAGTGTAGTGGATGGTCTGAATTTAACGGGGACCGTCCACCACGCGTAAGTCACGTAAGTCAAAACCCAGTTTCTCTTGAATATTCCTGTAAAGGCAGATGGGCTTCTGATCGTGAAAATCAAATGTTTAAATTTGGACAGTGTGTTTTACATGTGATGTCATTACAAATTAAGATAATCGGCTCATTCAAAACGCTTCATTAAAATTTCTCCACAAAATTTGTTTTTAACATAAGTTTGTTGAGCTGGTACATTGTACACGGTTTTATTCGCTCTAAAGCTGCCTGTCACAGAAATATTCACATTATTTTCCCCATGTCCGGCACACTCGTGTGTTCAGCACGAAACACACTAATTATGTCAGCCAAGCTTTGTTTTGCAAGCATAACAGTTTTAGTTGTCCAATCAGCTGGTTGTTCCTGTAAGAGTCTGAATAACATTAAGTATTAAATATGTTATTACATGTTAATATTATGATCTTTTCAAGCAAGCATAATATCAAGTATTAATCATATTTTCCATGATGATTGAAATAAATAAACATTACATAAGATAAACCTTGATTGAATTGCTCTCCAAAATTTTAGGTGGTTCATCGAATTATCTGCTTTGAAAATTTGATTTTGCACCGCACACACATTTTAAAAGCAAACAAACGATGAAATGTAATACTGATTTGTTTTAATATGTGTAATCGAGTGTGTGTATGTACAAATTATTGTGAAGTGAAGTGTGTACATGTTGTTAAGTTGAATGTGCTGTAGTTTTATAAAGATGAGTGTGTTTATTTTGGGCTTATTACTGTAAGTTCCGTGTGAATGTGTGCATAATTATAACAATCAATATTGTACATAGTTTTACACTATACAGTCAAGTATTACACCTGTTTGATGTTGATTCGTGCAATGATCTGCACTTAACAGAACATTACCATTAATAAAAGTGTAAAGTGTAAGTTCGCTAAATAGTTCTATAAATAACTCTCCAAATGGCTCCCCAAGTTTGTAAACACCACCTTTAATAATGTGTTTCGTGTAACTTTGTTAAGCAACCAATCTTATCTGGAGACGTCAATTAATCAATTTGTACACCAATCACTTACAAATCGATTGAGTCCTGTCCTAATTTGATCCACGCTATCATTCCTTGATCACAGTTTGTAATTATATTCCCCTGAATATTCCCACACTTTGATTGAATTATCAACAGAGTCTTTGTTAAATTCCTGTGATTGTACAGAAAGTACCACTATGTTACATACCGGGCTACTTTGAAGTATAGTTCTTGCCTATCACGAGATACTGCGGAATTCTCCTATAATCAATGTTATTGTTTAGAAAAATGGAAATTAACAACGAAAGAATTTATAACGGGATTCCCATCGAATTTTATGATCGTATTATTTTTTATAATGCGACTGATTTCTTTAGATTTTAGAACACAATGGCATGTCTTAAACAAAGGAAGTGTAGGTTAGTTTACTGTCTGGTTAGTAGTGTTTTGGGTAACGTGACACCAAAGAGGCACAATGTGAACCCAGAGCTATTTTTCCAGAAATAGAATACACAGTACATACCTTCTCGGCTCCCAATTAGACGTTAATGGTACCGAATTCAGTAAAACAGTAGATATATTATTATCATAGTAGAATGTTAGTTAGAATTTTAGTTATGCGGTACGCCTTTGTGGTAAGTATGAGCCAAGGATGAAATAATTAGTTTCTAATTAACGGATATTTAAACGGAGTTCTCTTTTAAAACGCTTAAAACTAAAAAAGAAGAAACACGACAGTCTGACTGCGGAAAATTTTGGATCTGAGAGGAAATTTTGTGCTTAAAGAGGACATTTTGGGGAGGGGGCCGGCCCTATGCCCATTTATTCCTCAAATTTTGGTCAAATGGGCACGGGGATCGCCTTAAAGATGGCTAAAACTTTATGATTAAAGACAATATCACCATCGTGTCCGCCTTCCTCTAATTAGTAAATATTTTAGTAACATTAAAACTAAAATACTAAGAATTCCCATGTCATATTCAATCAATGAACAATAAACTTGACTCAATATCTGATTCTCGCTGTAGTTTGGTTGTGTGAGAGTGAAATGCTGGCAACATTGATCTTGTTTGTTTTAAATTGGAATCACTTTTATCATAGATCTTGAGATTTTCTCACATGACATTTGAGATGTCGTGTTCTGATTTTGGAAAATTTCCAGTTGGCTCGACTTTGAATTTTTTATTTTGCTGCTTAAGGAGGTGTGTTTATATAATATATTATGATTAGATCTACCATGATTAGATCTACCATTTCGAGCATTGATTTTAACTCCAACAGAAGCTGGTTTTTAATTGAACTGAACTCAGCACTCTAGCGATTTTCAACAAAAATACAAAGTCATCTTTCCCAAAAATGTGGCAATTAAAAGCCCCATAGCAACCCACACCGCACTAAAACGAACCCATCCCTGCAGATAATTCCTGGTAACGCGTTGGTAGTCGATCAGCGACATCCATACAAGGTCCTAACAAGGTTTGGAAACAATTTCCTGCAGCGATTCGAAGCTGCTGTTATCAGGAACCCTGTCCTTCAAGGCCTCAACCTGTTGGATACACCCGGAGTACTAGCTGGAGCTAAGCAGACAGTCAACAGAGGATATGACTTTACTGGGGTCGTCAAATGGTTCGCTGACAGAGTCGATATGATTGTCATGCTTTTCGACGCTCACAAATTGGACATTTCGGACGAGTTTTCTCAAACATTCCAGGCTTGTAAAGGAAACGATACAAAGATTCGTATTGTGTTGAACAAGGCTGATAAAGTAACAAATCAACAGCTGATGAGGGTGTATGGAGCTCTGATGTGGTCGCTTGGAAAAGTGCTCGCCACCCCAGAGGTGGGTGGGCCCTAGAGTTTTTACATTGGATCAACTGGGGACCACCACAAAACGTTGATCACAGAAAGTTATTTGAGATGGAAGAGGAAGATTTGTTTAAGGACATCCAGTCCGTTCCCCGGGGATCCATTGTGCGGAAACTTAACGATCTGGTTAAACGATGCCGGATCGCCAAAACCCACGCTTACATCATGTCTCACTTTAAAAACGAGATGCCTGTGTTCGGAAAGGAAGCCAAAATGAAGCAAATGATCGCAAATCTACCCAAGATTTTCCAACAAATAGAACAAACAACAGGAATACCTGCTGGAGATTTCCCCAACACTGAGGAGTTCGCAGAGAAACTGAAAACATTTGACATCACTAAGTTAGCGAAACTGAACCAAGCTATGATAGACGCGTTAGATAAGATGATAGCTACAGAACTGCCTCGTCTCATGGCACAAGTGCCTCAAGACCAGGAGCTGGCTAATGATGATTACATGATGTCGGTGAGAAAACGAGACGGAGGTGCTCTGTTCGAGGCTGACATGACTTCCCTTTGGAGACGGAGCCACCATGGATATCCTCACCACTCCTCTCTTGGTTAAAGAATTCGTACACGAGTTTGAGAAACTCGGTCCTAGCTCTGATGGTAAGATTAACGGCACACAAGCCAAACAGCCTATGCAGGAGTCAAAATCCCTAACGCCACCCTCCGCCGGATCTGGACTCTTGCCGATTTGGATAAGGACGGGAAACTGGATCTGAGAGAATTTGCCATTTGTAAGCAGCTCATGAAAATGAAACTCGACGGACACGATTTACCGGTTGAGATACCCGATGTGTGGGTTTCACCGATGGCTGAGTAACTAAAGTAGATATTATGATTAATGTGTTGTGTGTTCTTTCATATTATGAGATATCATGTTATATTTGCACACGTGCGCGGCGTTCGCCCCAATGTGGTGAATATTATAGAGATGTAGGTTAAAAGTGTTGGAACTTGATAAGATTGTGAGATTAGGTCCTTGATAATACCATTCTTAATCGTCACAGTTACATTAAATACATTTGTACCTAATTGTCTTATCATTGAAATGTAATCTTGTATTTCTTGAGTAATGTAATGCATGCGGAGGTTGGCCACTGTAATACCTGTGGCTTGGTTACTTAAAGGTAAATTGAATATTATTAATTTTTTATCTTTCCGGTCCAATTTATTTTTGGAGATTGAAAATAATTCTATTTTGCCAAATGGAGCACAAAATCAAAGTTTGTGTGTAACCTAATACATTGAAGGTGTGCGAAACTGTTTTCGGTCAGTTGGCAAGTTTTACTCATAAACGGTATGTGGATTAGGTTGTTTGATTTGATGTTTGTTATTGATCAAAATGAGTTAGCAGTGAATTTAGCGTTTGTTTGAAGGATGTTTCAGGAAATTCCGGGAAATTAATGTTTCAGTTTTTACTATATTTTTAATTTTTGCATGCCTGATTGTTTTGTAAATCTGACGTTGTTTAATAGATTTACTTATTTAAAACAGTCCTATTTTAAAACTACTTTTGATTTGGTGATCTGTGCATTTTGTCTTTGTCCAACATTTACACCATTCAAATACGCATTCTGACGTCAACCGCCCAAGATATTTCTCTTCAAATGAAGCCAATAATATTACCATTTACTCATAAAAGCTCATAAATGTCAATCTAATCCCCTTCCAAGGTGTCGGAGGCACCATTTCACAATAATTGAAGCAATTCTGTAGAGCGGTACTGTTACTTCCTGTCCAGTCACTGTTCTTCTTTATCCAATGTAACCAGAAACATAATAGACGCCGATAGAATCTGCCAATATCCGGGAGTAATAGCTGTGTATATAATACTGAGTATTTAAGCCTTGGCTCGAGTCGTGAGGTGCCAATGTTGGTGGAAATAATTAGGTATAAATACTCGCACAATAGAATACAGTGTCAGGTATTCCACCTCTCAATGACCTGTCAGCCAAGTAGTCGCCAGGTTGATACCTGGTAAGATTGGGTCTGTGGTACGCGAGTGTGTCCTTTGTTAACTGTTGATATGGTAACCTGAAATAGATTCTCAGATCAGGAGGAAGTATTGTGAACGCCCTGGAATTAGGTTAAGGTATAATAATAAGTTGAGTTGAGATAATTTTATCATCATCAACTCATTTAGTCATTTGTCTCCAAGTCAGAAATTGTGTAGAATTCTTTGTCTGCCAATTGCAATTACTGACATTAATGATTACACTCTACCAACGGCCAACCCAGTATTCTTCCCTTTACTTTTATCTCAAACGGTTAGCTCACACAACATGATTTTCACCATTCCGCAAAGTCCGTGAATTCCGCGTATAGAAAAATGCGGTCATTTGATCCGCTTTAGTCATATCATATAGCCGGAAGAAGATATTTACATATCTTGCTGAGGAGATAGCGTAAGGTTTATTTGGAGTATAACACACAGTGAAAACACACCCAACTCAATTAACAACATCTCAATATGTAAGTGGTATACCCCAGGTGCAATTTACCGCAGATATTAAGAAGAGGATCTAGTTACATTCCATATCTTGTGTCGAAGATACCTGACATTCTTCCGTGTGAACATTTTCAATGTAGGTGCTCTGGTACTTGTAATAAATCCTAATAACCTTAACTATGTTTTAGGTATGCAGACAATTTCGTTTTTACGTCGTTTATCCAAGGCTTATTCTTTACCACTGATGTTTCACGGTATAAAGAACGGGAAGGTAACATAATATGCTGCATAATATATCGTTACATTAAATTATTACAAAGAGATTTGCGCTGATTGCCCGCGGTAGTATGATCTAAATTTGTTCATTACCGGGTATGTGACATTGACTAACCCGCATCTTAAAATGAGCCACTCTAAGTTCTGACAACTATACATTTCGTGATTAAAGTACTGACCACCAACAAAGAAATTGGAGATTAGAAGCGGGCCTCCAGACAAGTGCAAATTTAGTGGCCTTTCCAACTAATTTGCACATATTTAGAGCTGATGTGGACTGGTAGTTTATTATGTTACTGTCAAATGTTACACACATACTCAGTAATATTATGGAGTTGTTCGTATGTGAATATAGTTTAAAGTATCCGGGTTGGTCCGTGAGCTTTGTGGAAAGTTCCTGGTGGAAGGTGGAGCCTGAGTGACGTGGCAGCAGCTCGTTTAGAGGAGAGTAGAGCCTGTTTTACAGCAGATCTTAAAACTATTCAAACTTCACACAGTCTACCCTCCTTTCTCTCTCTTTCTCTCGTTATCATCAGAAATGTAGTGTATCGTAAGTTGATGTACTGTTTATGTGATATCTTAGCATGTCTAATGTATTCAAGATAATGTGCATGTTTGTCGAGTGATTGGGAAAATACAACCCCCCCTATCTCTACTAGAATCCCCTGTATTTTGCGTATACTAATCGTTCTTATCCAGCATGACATCACGTGACGCATCACGTGCGCCTACAGTTCACATGCGATAAATCCACGTCCATCAATCCAAAAAAATCGGCTGAATAGAATATACAAGTTGTTTTCATTGAATGGTAATCCTGCATGTCAAAAATGTCAAAACAGTCGTTATGAAATTGAATACAATTTCTTTTTAGCTTCTGACAATCTTACTTGCAATTCGCTCAGAGAAAACTTGGTACTCAAGAAACTAAATTTGCAACAATCTCGAAATCAAATTAGTAACTTATAATGAAGTATAATTTACATCCTAATGTAACTCGATACTGTAGTCGTGTTCAAGCCTGCAGAATTGTACATTTAGTACAATGATATGATCTCAAATATTTCGGAATTTCGCTCAGACTGATAAATGTTTAAAATGTGCATGAACCAAATGGTTTCTTGTCGTGCGCTCAATATGAAATTACAACATTGTTAAATACAAGAAAACTGATTGGTCCACGCGTTTTCAATCATACCCGAATGGCTTGGTTGTGGACCACAAACGAAGCTACAAAGTTCTCAGCCGCTTTGGAAACAACTTCCTGCAAAGATTTGAAGGAGCGGTTATCAACAACCCCATTTTAAGTGGAATGACTCTACTGGATACACCTGGGGTACTCTCCGGTACCAAGCAGACCATATCACGTGGTTACGACTTCACGGGAGTAGTTAGTTGGTTCGCAGAGAGAGTGGATATGATCGTACTCTTGTTTGATGCGCACAAGTTGGATATCTCGGACGAATTCCAGAGGGTAATTGAGGCGTGTAAAGGGAATGATACTAAGGTTCGTATTGTGTTGAACAAAGCTGATAAAGTCACAAATCAACAGCTGATGAGGGTATATGGTGCTCTGATGTGGTCGCTTGGAAAAGTTTTGGGAACACCCGAAGTAGCTAGAGTTTACATTGGATCATTCTGGGATCAGCCCTACTCCAATGATGAAAACCGGAAATTGTTTGAAGCGGAAGAGGAGGATTTGTTTAAAGACATCCAGTCAGTTCCAAGAGGAGCAATTATACGAAAACTAAACGATCTCATCAAACGATGCCGACTGGCAAAAACACACGCTTACATCATAGCACACCTGAAAGAGGAGATGCCTGCAAGTTTTTGGTAAGGAAGCAATAACAGAAGCACGTACACTTCTAACCAGCCATTTTCGAACAGATACAGAGAGCGACTGGCCTTCCTGCTGGCGACTTTCCGAATGTTGAAGATTTCTCGGTGTCTCTCAAGAAATGCGACTTTTCTAAGTTCAAACCTTTGAACCAGGGACTGATTGATGCGCTGGATAAGATGATAGCGACGGAGCTGCCACGTCTCATGGCACAAGTTCCGCAGGATCAAGAGGTGTTTCACGAGGATTACATGCGCAACCTCAACAAGCGCGAGGGAGGAGCGCTGTACGATGATGACACCACACCGTTTGGTATGGAGGAACCCTGACATTTCCTCCACTCACCAGTGCCGGTCAATGGACTACCAGTACGAGTTTTGAACAGTTGGTACCAGATTCTGATGGTAAAATTAATGGGACTCAAGCAAAACAGCCGATGCAGGACTCAAAACTTCCCAATACACTCTCAAGAGAATATGGCAGCTCGGCGACGTCGATAAAGACGGAAAACTTGATATTCGGGAATTCGCCATTGTCCGACACCTCATCAAACTTAAACTTGATGGACATGAATTGCCTGTCGAGGTGCCTAAGATTTGGCTGGAAGGTTTAGAAATTGATGATTACAAACGTTAAGACTTCCATTTTCTTGAATAAAATAGTACTCAAGAAGTCATGTAGATAGCAATATTGTCACCGAAGAGGAATTGTACAGAAGCAATGTTCTGTTTTGCTGAACAGTTGCAGTCTGTGGTATATTATGATCGGCTTGGGATCGAAGTTTTGATGATGACTGAGAGAAAGAGAGCAATGTATGAAACTGTGAACGAAATGTTGTGTTAGAAATACTAATAGTTTATAGATTACAATGCTTTACGATATATTTCTTTGTTCACAATTTAAAGTTTCCTTATTTTAAAGTTTAGTAATGTAGAATAATATTGTACTCGAATAATGGTTATTTATAGGCAACTGTTCTTATATGTACGGCGAATATCTTCGTATGTTTTGTTGATGATTAATTTGATTTCGATGAAATGATATTGCTTCTCCTACACATAAAGTCTTAGGCGACAATTGATCCAGTACACAAATTCAAAACTTAACTTTACGACTAGCAAATTTAACAATTTTTCGCGGTAAAGTAAATTATGTCAGTTTGTTGCGTATCGCGCGCTATATTTAATTTATCGACACGCGCAGATTCAATTTATGCTACGAACTAAAATCTAAAATCACGAATACTTTCAATATATTGATATGAAGTAAAGGCGAGTGGTTGATTGACGATGTCAATCCATCGAGATCGTTGCTCTGCGAAGCAGAGCAACGATCGACGACGGATGCGAAGCAAGAATGCTAGTTTGCGCGGCGTGTCGAAGCCCTCCAAGGCGAGTGGATGTCTCATAGTATAGTCGACCACTCTGTTTGTAGCGCGATGCACTACTGGGTCGCGCGCGCGCATCCAATAATGCTTCTCGCAACCACATATGCAGATCGGCGAGATGCGAAGGATTGACATCGTGAATCAACCACTCTGTGTAAACCTCCCCATGTAATACATGATATAAGTCGAAACTAGGCGTGCGTCTTGGTAGGTTATAAACCTACAATATTATTATAAGGCAATCAACTTGATGGATGTAAGGATGTATTGTCTTACCTGAGGACCCCAGGCTTTAATGTTGTTAAACAATAGAGATTAGGCGGAATGACAAGCTGAGCGCGGCCCAGTAAGTTTTGTCATACGTTGTATGACCCGCCGCGCACGAGTGCGCGGCTCCCCCTGTATCGTCGAAACTCTACTATAGTGAAGCGACAGTGGGGGTCACTACGTGATACAACGATGCACTACTGGGCCGCGCCGAGCTGCGAATGATTGACATCGTGAATCAATAATGATTCACCATGTGGCGTTTGGAGGCCCTATAGGGCAGCAAAGTGATAAGTTTGATAATGCTCGGACCCTAATACCAAAGCACAGCAGACTTGGGAGATCCAATCCCTCATATAACATGGGCCGATATATAATACAGATTCCTTTTATTGAAGTAGTGTAAGGTATACATTAGCTGGGCTTTTAGGTGAACATATGCCTGGGTTAGTGTCACACCCAGGTTGCCGCGGCGAGGTGCCTGGGCATTGTCTAGCCATTAGACAAAATCACACCTCTATTCTATGATGACACAGATAAATAGCACTAGGGTTCAAGCCCCTACCAACAACCCAGTAGTAGCCTGCTCTTTATATGACGGGTCCACCTTAAAACCCCCGGGAGGGGTGGGTCCTGATAGTCGTGGCAGTGCTGCTACTACCCATTTAGTACGTAGGAAAGTTCCTTTTCAAGTCAGCACGTTTAACACTAGGACTTTAAACCCCCTATCTAGGAAGCAGGAACTTGCACACTCAGCATTTCTACACCACAACGACATCATCTCCCTCCAAGAGCACCGCCAACACCACTCAGAATCTCTTAGAATCGAGAACATTTTGTCCTATCAGCTCATCACTTCCTCGGCCACTAAGAACTCAGTTAATGCCTCAGTTGGCGGTGTTGGTTTCCTCCTTTCCCCTCGCATCCAGAAGTCACTCCTTTCAGTGGAGAAAGTGAGCAGCAGGATCATTGTCATCCATGTTAATGGTAATCCACGACTATCAGTGGTATCATGCTACGCACCCACCAACTGCAGCGACATGGACGACAAGTCTTCTTTCTACAGTTCCCTCTCCAGGACCATCGCTAAAGTCCCACCTCACAACATGCTAGCTGTTAGCGGAGACTTCAACGCAAAGCTCAGCAGGGGTACTGGGTTCTCGTGTCATGACACCACCAATGACAACGGTGAACGTCTCTTGGACCTTATGGACGAGCACCAGCTATTTGCTGCCAACTCCCGTTTCCAGAAGCCAATCAGTAAGCTTTGGACCTACGAAGACCCCAAAAGGTCAAAGCATCAAATTGACTTCATTCTCTGGCGGAAGAAATGGACCAATAGTGTGAAGAACTGTCAGGCCTTCAACACCATGCAGACGGTCGGTTCCGATCACCGTATAGTCACCTGCTTTGTCCAAGCCAGTTACAGAGCAAACAGGACCCCGGCCAAAGACCCCCCCCCTTCGGAGTGTCGACTGGACCCCTCTTGTCCACGATCCCTGCTTAAAACATCAGTATGCAGTGGAAGTGAAGAACAGGTACAGCGCTCTCCTGCAAGAAGCAGAGCTCCAGTCTGACTATGACCTGATGGTTGATAGTGTCAAGACCACAGCTCTTCGAATACTTCCGAAGAAAAAGAAGAAGAAAAAGGGAAACCCATATAACGACCCTAATATTGCACACCATCGCAATATTCTCAAGACTGCATCTCTGGGTCATAGGACTTCTCCCTCCTTCTCATCTAAAGAAAAGCTCGAAGACGCCAAGAAGCAGCTGGACGAAGCATACAACACCGCTACTGCACAGTATGTCCAACAACAGACTGCATGTCTGGAGCAGACTAACCCTGAGCACAGGCATCGGAGCTCTTGGCGCATCATCAGAGAGCTAACGTCTCCTAACACCGTGCCCTATAGTAAAGTGCCTGGGGGCACCACCGAACAGCGGCTCAACGTTTGGTTTGAGCACTTCAAGTCGCTCCTCGGGACAGAGCAGCCACCCCCTGACCTCTCCTTGCCCTTCTACAACCAGAGAGTCTCGGACACCCTTCCCATTAGCTGTCTTCCTTTCTCCATGTCCGAACTCGATTCAGTCCTCAAGTCCATCAAGTCCTCCAAGTCACCAGGCCTAGATAGCATCCCTCCCTCAGTTTGGAAGCTTCCCCAACTTCGTGACGACCTCCTCAGTTTCTGCAACAGGGCCTTAATTGATGGAGTAATCCCTGAAGCCTGGACAACGGCATCTATTATACCCATCCCCAAGAAAGGCGACCTGACCAACCCCGGGAACTATCGAGGTATCTCATTGGCTCCGGTTGCAGCGAAAGTTTTCAACAAACTCATCCTCAACCGGATTTACCCATACCTGGATCCCCTACTGCGGCCAAACCAAAATGGCTTCCGCAGAGGAAGATCTACCCTCCCTCAGATACTTGCCCTACGACGCATCCTAGAAGAGTGTAAAATCGGAAATCGATCAGCAGCTATCGTGTTCGTCGACTTTTCGAAAGCATTCGACAGTATCAACAGGGATGCCTTGTTTCACATCCTCTCCCTCTACGGCGTCCCTGCTCCCATAACTGATGCTATCAGGCTCCTGTATGACTCATCGCACTCCAGAGTCAAAACCATTGACGGCCTTACAGACTTCTTTAGAACACTCATCGGGGTCCTTCAGGGTGATACACTCGCTCCTTTCCTCTTCATCATCGTCCTCGATTATGTCCTTAGGAACTGCATGACTCTTGACCATGGCCTAACCATCATCCCCAGGCAAAGTCGGAGAGTACCTGCGGTCAGAGTCACAGATCTTGACTTCGCTGACGACCTGGCCTTGACTGCCGATACCATAGAGCAAGTCCAGCAACTGCTCTCGGATTTAGAGACTGCAGCAGCACATGTCGGACTTGCGATGAATGCTTCCAAGACCGAATACATGACCATCAACATTCCTGATGCTGCCCCCGTGAACTCAATATCCGGTTACCAGATCAAGCAGGTTGATGACTTCAAATACTTGGGCTCATATATTGCAGAGAGCAGGAAGGACTTCAACACCAGGAAAGGCATGGCTTGGTCAGCCTGTATCAAACTGCAGAAGGTATGGACCTCTGGCATTTCTGACCAGCTGAAAGTCAAGTTCTTCAGAGCATGCATCGAACCTGTTCTGCTGTATGGCTCAGAAACCTGGACCTTGAACAAGCAGTTTGAGAAGCGTCTCGACGGGTGCTACACCAGGCTCCTAATGAAAGCCAGGAATCTTTCATGGAAGAAGCATCCAACCCTAAAGCAAATCTATGGTGACCTCCCTTCCATCTCCACCATCGTTGCACAGAGACGTGCCAGATTTGCTGGGCATTGCATGAGAGCTTCAGACCAGGTCATCTCTACCATCCTTCCTTGGCGGCTGCCACAGTTCAGGCGTGGGAGGAGACCACTCTCTTTTCTTGACACCGTAGCCAGGGACACAGGGTTGCGGGTAGAAGATCTCCGAACAGTTATGTGCGACAGAACCATCTGGAGACGTAGAGTGGAGGAGATTTCGATCGAGCATCGCCCAAAGTAAAAGTAAAAAGTAAGTATGCCTGGGTTAAGAAGAAAACGAATTGGTTCGGTTACAAGTCACGTTTGTGCGGTGGCCGATTGAGTGTGCACAATTGAGTAAAACTGACTCATTCACTAGTGATTATGCAATACTATACTGTGTTGTGTAGCGGGAAATAAGGACCAGGCAGACTGGGGCCATAAATTTCTTACAGCATCTGGAACAAGTCCAAAGAAAACTATCTGGACTACAATCAACATTTGTCTCACATCGCGAGACCTATTTATTTATTTGTTAAATCATTCGTGGCTATTGGCTGCGAATTGTGGCCACAAACTTGTGTGGGCTGGCCCACAGTATGAGGCAAAATCAACATTTAGCTGGTGATCTTGATTAGGATACTACTCCCAACCACTTGCCCAGAATCACGTCTGATGATAAATGTGCTCTTTACAGAATATGGCAAAGGTGTACCACATTTAAGATGACAGAGACCTTTGCCGCAGAGATGGGCTCCAACCCAACCTACCGACCCTCATTGCATCATTCGGCAAACAAGTGTTGAATGAACTTACTCAAATTTAGGAGGCTTCATTTGCTGTCGCCATAGAACCCTATCTACCATAAGTCGCCGAACTTTCTCTATGTAACTGTCTGCATGTGCAAAACTGCTGTTATTATTTCTTAATAACTTAAAACTTTGAAGGTGTATAATGTATATAATAGGTATTAATTATTCAATTTAACATAATCGAATCAAATTTCCTTTCTGTGTCCAGCTGTTTTGCTATGATAGATCCAATTTTTAACCACATGTATTGCTGAGTGTAATTTCATAGCTTACATAGTAATCAGTAATGATAGGTCACAAGATGTAACTGATGTCATGGCTGAAGATGATTGCTTTGAGGGTCTCTATCATTACCTGAAGGTTCTCGGGGAAGGAAGTTTTGGAAAAGCAGTTCTATATAGACGATATTCTGATAACTTCTTAGTGGTATGGAAGGAGGTAAACGCATTTTCAAATATTCTAAATTGGTTTTATTTTTAGCTGTCAAATCACTCATGTTTAATAATTAATTCCTTATTCTTATAAATTAATTTCAAGTATGAACCATTGTAGGTGAAGCTAAAAAGCGACAAAGAAATCCAAGCAGCGCAGCATGAGGTGGACGTTCTTTCCCTGTTATCTCACCGGAATATCGTGGGGTATTACAACAACTATGTGGACAGTGATGTTATGTACATTGAGATGGAGTATGCTAATGGGGGTACCCTTAGTCATCTGATATGTGCTCAACAGCAGTCTTTCGCTGAGGTAATGAGTGTGATAAATGTATTAATTTAGAGGTAAATTCAATTGCAATTAACGGTTTTGCAGGAACCACAGTCAGTATCCCTAACGGCTAATATGTATAATATATATATAATAATAAGCATAGTATAATAATAAGCATAGTAAAATTAATAACTCAATATTGTCTGATTATCCAAGCAGTTAAATTGTTCAAATATTAATTAGCTTTGATTGTAGGGTGGTTAGGATTTAACTGAATCTGGCCGCTACCCTTCCCAGTTCCCATCAGTTGTCAAGTCTTTCATTATGATGCAAAATATTTTAATATTATGAAGTCTTGTCATAGCTGTCAAGTGTCTATTAGATTTCCCGCCATCGTGGATACTAAGTTAATTTTTTAATTGATGACAGTTCGGTTAATTAATGGTAGTCACATCAGCCACCCTGGTTCAACAACATATTTCTGATAAGTTAGAGTCGTGTACCAAGTACATTTTAACATTCAAAGCCCTACTTAGAAAGGCGGAATGCCGAATTCTCCCAGTACCCAGTAGGCATGCCAGACTTTTTAAATGCAAATTGACAGTGTATATCTGATGGTATGCTGATGGTATGTAGAGTCAAAGTTAAATGTATTTTACTTTTCAAGTGCTTTGTAAATGTACGACACTACAAGCAAACTGAGGCGGCTGACTTTGTAATAACTAAGCATCAAACAAAATATTTAATTTTATGTATATTATAATAGATACAAATATATAGAATAAATGTGGTCGATTAAGTTAATAGCTTCAACGTTACCAATCTAGAGTACGTGTTTCTTATACTTCAAATTTGCATCTTTAAAATAATATTAGCTAACCTTTATGCCGTAAAGCTGAGAAACCTGCTTGTGTCAAGACCCTTAGCCTTGGTACACTCACACTCATCGTGTTCTATTGTATTTACACTCAAATGATTATCTGGATTTGCGATGCTGTCTGTACAAGTTTAGGTGCTGGATCTGCTCTCCAAGCAGATCACACGCTGCACAAATCCTCTGTTTAACACTCAACATTACCGGCATCAAATGCCATAAAATTACTGGTGTGTAATAAAGAATGTAAGTCTAAGTACGTCCTCCTAGGGAGTGTTAAAAATGTGCTCTCCGTGGATAACATAATTTGCGTGAAGAAAAGTAGATGGTACTGCCATCAACTCCATTCTTCTTCAGAACGAGAGTATAGCCTCTGTAAATTATCCTTTTCACTTTTGATCTGCCGATTCAATTGACCATTGTACTGCACGACAATCTTAATCGTTTTCATTTATAATCATTAAATTAATCACAGTGAATCTCCGAGACAAGGTCGCAGAGATAATGTCAGTAAATTATTTTCACGTCCAGAAAGGATCAGTGAAGGAATAAATATTCTCGGTATTCGACATAAATTGATAATAAGTTAATGACCCCGGTATTTCAGGAGGAGGTGTTGTGGTATTTTTACCAGCTGTGCTGCGCCTGTGTATACCTACATTCCAGCGGGATAATCCACAGAGACATTAAAACTGTCAACATCTTTCTCAACAAGGTTGGTAACAGCAAAACTAACCAATCAGGGAACAGATAGCAAGGATTTCTGCCAATCAGCTGTCAGAAGTGTCATCTGATCAATGACCGTGCTGCGGAGTTATTTGTCGGGTGCGCTTTTAAGTCTAAGATTCTGAGTTATAATTCAGAGAAATTAGTAAAATTATTCAGTATTTTGATGAATGGTGGGAATATTTGGTGGCAAATGAATTCTGTTTCTAAAATTCTGATAATTGTTAATTGGGCGTAGACCTGTTGTAAAACTTGCTGGTCCATATTTCCAGTACAGTAAACGTGCTAAATGCTAATTCCTCACTGTAATGTAGCATTATTAAGTCTAATGACCATTACATTATAATGTATTTAAAGGCAGTGGTTATGCAGTAATTTCTTGGCAGCCACTCAATTATGACTCCCGCGTAATTATCTATAAAACGTCAATCTGCCACGTAATATTTTCAAGGAAGTCAGGAACGTTCATTTAACATTCATGTAACATGCTTATATTATTACACACATGCTTATATTATTACACACATCTCATGTTCGATATAATTGTAAATTGTAATCTTCTCAGACAGGAATTCTGAAAGTGGGTGATTTTGGTATCAGTAAGATGTTGACCTCAGACAGTGAAGCTGCTGACTCTATTGTTGGAACTCCCTACTACATGAGTCCTGAAATCTGCAGGTTTGTCTGGTGCCCCACTTTTTATATCACAAAATATTTTTTTATATCACAAAATATCATTATGGTTTTGTTTTATCTCCATCCCGTGATATGACTCTAATTCTGACTATATTCTGACCATATATATTCTGAACCTATTCACTCACTAGAACAACAAACTAACCCGAAAACCAAATTTTAATCTTCCGAATCATTATCGAGATAAAATGAGGTTAAATTTTGTCAGGTATTATTTCCTGTACTACATTTTTAAAGTTATATTTAATAGTGATATTTTTCCTTTTTTGTCACGTTGATCGAATTCTTTTCTTAATCGACGCTAAAATAATCTTTTGGAGCATAAACCAAAGTTTAACAATGATAGAAACTCGGTTTTGAAATAAATGCGAAGCCAATGTACATACAAACAGGGTAATGGTATTTACATCAATTTTACACATTAAGACGACTCGAAAATGCCATATGTAAGGAAGTAAGAAGAAGAAGATTTTACTCGAATAATTAAATTTCAATAAATAAAACGACAAAAAGAACTGATGTTTCTAGACACACTACTACTATGACGTGATCACTGAACACTAATGTCTATTCTTCATCGATCACTTCCGAAGGGACCTCCTCTGGCACTGAAATAAGAATACAGTTAGGTCTCTCTTTAATCCAGACGTTAATAAAAAATATAATTGTGATATATTCTTATATCAATATGCTCTCTCGCTGTATTTAGTGAATAATTTCGAGAGTTCTCTAGAAGCCGGTACGGTGAAGGACAGACGATGTTATTTAACTACTCAAGGATACATTTCAATTCTAAAATGTACTTTAACATACACGTATACTTAATTCTCCGGTAAATAATCCTCTGGAAATTAGCCCGTTTAAAATGCACTTACCCATAACCTCAACCTCACAAAGAGTAAGATAACTGTTATCATTTGTTATTTTAACACCGTTCCCGTACTTGTTACACGGAATCACAAAGACAGGGGATCCGTCGTAGTTCACTTCCCCACACAGCTCCCATTCTGATCCTATACCTACCCACACCTGCAATTACTTGGGTTTAATTGGGTAATAAGGTAATTGGTTATGGTTAGATTTTAAGATTGAATGTTATTGATTAGCGGGATGTACAATTTGTCGAGGATAAGGTTCAAATTACGGAAGTGTCATTGTTCCTTTACTCCTTTATTACAATTCTACATCATCGAAGTCTTAAAAACACCGACCACTGGCACCTCCCCAAAGGTAAAAATTAAAATGTAGGCAGCTTTTATTGTAGAAGCAGAAATCAATCACACTGGGATGGCTAGGATGGGAGCATTCTGATTTTCTCATCGTATTACTTTAATTTTGAAACTATTCCAATTCCCGCGTTTGTTACCTTGGCACCGTTAATTCTGTTGGAGCAGCAGTCCAGTCTGTTGTGGATCTTGATGCTCTGAATGTACTCATCTTGATCAAGCTGCACTGTCCACCAGTTACCAGTCGCTTGAGAAGAATGGGTACAGGATTGGCTGCGGTCATTTGGTGAACATAATCAAAATGAGATTTACCTTTTTACTAACCGTGTTACTTACTTTGTTAATCAGGCTAGATAAGACGGCTAGAGATAATTTGGCCCTTCATTTGCGTCAGTTTTAAAAAATCAATACAGTCTTTTTGAAACTTTTCAGCTACTCAAATATTCCATGAGTTTAAACTTTTCACAGCTAGTCAAAGAAACTGAGCCAAAATAAAAACTCATCACTCAAGGTTGGGTATAAAAGAGGCTGTATAGAGGCTGTATGGTGGCAGCGTGTAGCCGTACAGAGGCCGTGTGGAGGCCCTGCCTATTGTTTTCTTACCCGGGCCATTGCTTGTTGGTGTTCCCATCCACAGCACGACTTGCAACGCCTCCCCACCCTACAGAACTCTGAGAAGCAGGTCTACCCTGAGCTACGTTAGAGAATACTGGGATGTTCTTTGGCATGTTCTCTTCCAAAACTGGGTAAATCATCGTGTAAATCCTGGTATTGGGCTACTAGTACATTATAAACATTGGGTGATGGAGGAGGGTTATAAGGACTCTTGATTAATCGCTTCTAGTGCTGAAATGCAGGTATTTAACCTACACACAATAATTAATGATCATGATTATAATTAAAGTATTGAATATTGATCCTACCTAGCACTTCTATCTCGCACACGTGCAGAGATTGTCCGCTACTGAGTTTGACAGAGACTGAACCTGCCGAGAAGTTTCCACAGTTAAACTGGTAAGGTTGTTTGCCCTCCTGGAACTGGATTTGTCCACATTGGTGCTCGTCAGCGTACACCATCGCCTGGGTGGGGATTTGTTCTAAGTCTTATAAGATAACGGGTTCGAATCAAACTGCAAATTTATATATTATTAGCTTAGTGATATTCCATTATGAGTAACTGTGTAAATTATTTGTGTGCAATCAGCGACTGAGCTACTTACCCCGTTGATTTTCTGATCACAACAAGCGTCCAGCCTGTTGTAGATGCTAATAAAAGAGATAGGGTACTTGACTCCGAAATCTCCAGCTGGTAGTGTTACTGAAACTGAATGTTGTCCTCCATTTCCAGCTGAATGCTGGCACGATTGTCTGAAATAGTTATTTTTACAGTTTTAGTCTACCGACCCTTACAGCCTTACCTACCTTCCCTTTTATTGGCTCGTAACGGTTTCAATATTTCATGATAAGATTTTGGTGATGTTATCACTCTACAAAGAATATTGTGTAACTTCTCAGTTCCCACAATCCTTCATCTCAATTCAATGCAGCTGCAATTCAGACAATTGATCGAACATAAGCTCGCAAATGTTACTAAGTGCATTGACGCAATTGTGTAGTTGCAACAAAATGATAACAAGTATATTAACCATTGAACAAGCACTGCGGGTAACGTGCAGTGACAATGCGTGAGAAACTGAAGATTTTAAACTTTACACAAGGTCGTCAGTAGAAATTCTCTAGTGCTTTAAACTTTAATAAACAAAAGTTTACTTACCCGCCCCACATTCCGTTTCTGTTTCCATCTATTACTCTGCTGGCAACACCTCCCCATCCCATTGAAGAGGAAGATGCTGTACCATCGGCTGCTACGTTGATAAACTTAGGAATGTCAGTTGGAATGTTCTCCTCCAAAACTGTTGATGATATTGTGTTAAGGATAAAATTTGAAATAGGCAAGTGTTTCTTCCTCCGCATGTCTACTGTTTAGAATCAATTATCAAACTGATATTATTTATCTTACCTAGCACCTCTATTTCACACACGTGTAGAGATTGTCCGCTACTGAGTCTAACAGAAACTTGACCAGCTGCAAACTCTCCACAATTGAACTTATAGGATTGTTTACCCTCCTGGAACTGGACTTGTCCACATTGGTGCTCGTCAGCAAACACCATCGCCTGGGTGGGGTTTTCTTCAGTACTTGATAAATAAGGTTGGATTTATCTCTAATGGGTGTTGGCAAATATTATACTATAAATAAAACTGCAAGACTACAATGACTAGGTCACTTTTCTATGAACAGAAACCTTCCTACCCCGTTGATTTTCTGATCACAACAAGCGTCCATCCTGTTGTAGATGCTAATAAAAGAGATGGGGTACTTGACTCCTAAATCTCCAGCTGGTAGTGTTACTGAAACTGAATGTTGTCCTCCATTTCCAGCTGAATGCTGGCACGATTGTCTGAAATAATTATTGGTGCAGTGATAATATTGTATCCTCTGTTCTTTTTCGGCCACTCTAAAACGTAGATTGGGATTCTCACATAATTGTTTGACAGTGTATCTGCTTTATATTCTGGTGTCAAGATGAACACAGAACCATTCTTTATTTATAACTGTTAATATATTTAACAAAAGTACACTTACCCGCCCCAAATGCCATTTCTGTTTCCATCTATTACTCTGCTGGCAACACCTCCCCATCCCATTGAAGAGGAAGATGCTGTGCCGTTTACTGCCACGTTGATAAACTTGGGGATGTCAGTTGGAATGTTCTCCTCCAAAACTGTTGGAGTAATCTGTTAGACACTTGAACTCCTTTTCAATTCTCCATTCTTGGATAGTATAAATATTTCGGGAAGGATTGAGAATTCATGAAAAAATCAATAGCAAACGATTTTAATTTTTCTATCAGACGTTGACACTGGAAATTTAAGTAATAAACCGAGTTTAAGTGGTACTCCTACACTTACCGAGAACTTCAAGTTCGCAAACTTGGAGCCAGCCAGCAGACAATCGTACTGAAACCTCACCAGCAGTCTTGTTGCCACAGTCGACCATGTACGCTTTCTTTCCCTCCTCGAACTTGATCTGTCCGCACATATGGTCGTCGGCAAATACTTGAGCCTGTGAGAGAGAAAATCAGATTTTCTTGTCCGCAGTGAGGAGGCCGATCCAAAACTAAGCTGTTTGTAAAGGCTAAAATTGGAATGATACTGTAGAAACAATGTATTCAAATTTATCGCGATAATTGTTGTATGGTTCATTTATATATCTGCTCGACTTACATTGTCGATTCTCTGATCACAACAAGTGTCTAATCTGTTGTAAACTCTAACTGCGGAGACGGGATACTTGATACCAATATCAGAGTAAGGCAGGGTGACTGTTACTCTGTTGTTACCAGCGTTACCTGAGTGCGAGCACGATCCTCTGCGGGGGTTTAGTCAGTCAGTTAACATAATCAACACTTAAAGATTGAAGAACTTTGCTAAGTGCATGATATTGTATCTTAAGTTATACAATTCTGAACCATGATAGAGTAAAAGTATGGAGCTGTGTGATAATAGAAATGAGACAAAGAACAAACACTTACCCACTCCAATAGCCGTTTGTGTTGCCGTCTTTGACCCTGCTGGCTACACCTCCCCAACCTACACTAGTTGAAGTAGCTTCACCCTCCTTGGCTACATTCACATAACTCGGTATGTCGGGCTTGTACGAGTCGTCAACTGAAATGGAACAATTGAACTGATTTATTTAAATCTACTGACAAAAGCAATGGGAAAAACTCTGTAATAAGTCCTTATCAATTAACGCTACAATGAAACAAATCTCATATCTTTACATTTAAATTGTAAGACTGGTAATCATGCTCAAATACTGGAGAGGAAGTGGTTCACTTACCAAAGACTCTCAGTTCACACACTTGTAGGTACTGAGTAGGATGGTAAACAGTAACAGTACTGCCCATCTTCCCTTCACAGTCTACTGTATACTCGTGCTGCCCCTCCACGAAGGTAAGAGCTCCGCACATGTGCTCATCCAGCCACACTTCTACCTGTTTACAAGATAATATTATTCATTGGTCTGAGCAGCTGAGTTTCTTAAGTCAGGCCTATCAACTGATAAACAGTACGATTTCGTTGAGTAATATCAAGACTTAACATGGTTGCTGCATACAGAAAGAAAATGGCGTCAGGCCGGAAACTTACAAGAAATAAGTTTAACTTACGCCCTGAATTCGCTGGTCACAGCAGAGATCCAGTCTGTTGAAGACACTGATGCTCTGAACCGGCCATGTAGCCCCCAACTCCTCCCCAGGTAATGACAGAGTCAGCTTGCCTCCTTTTGCTTGTGAGGAGTGGTAGCAGGAGCCTCTAGAGGTGGGGTCAACAGTTTAATATTTATAGAATATGTCGTCCATTAAATTTAGGAGCAGTGTTCGGACTTCGAAGTTTCCTATCTAAGGCAGATCAAGAGTTACACCTTAAGTAGATAATATAATAGTATCTTACCTGCCCCAATGGCCATCAGTTCTACCGTCTATAGCTCGACTGGCAACTCCGCCCCATCCTGTAGATGTCGCACTTATCGACCCCTTATCGGCGATGTTGACTAACTCTCCGGCTGTGATGCCCACAAATGCCAACAAAAGTAACATCTCTAACAAACTTGAATTAAACAAACTTCAACTAACTTTCTATTCTGACTTCTGAGATCTATCTTTTTAACCGGATATTCAGAAAACAATTGCACATAAAACGTACCTTCATAAAAGTGGACGTGGGTCAGGCTAGCTGGCTAGTATCTTTGTACAAAGGAACAATGGCTGACCAATGCCCGACCTATGAAAAGAGTTCCATTGTTGAAGGAGCAGCTCACATCAGACCCCCATGCCACTCATAACGTCAGATGATGCTTCTGTTCCATCTCACAGTTCCTCGACATTGTTTTGTACCTTTGTGATGTACTATTTCAGTCTCATGATCTTCTCACAAAAGAAGGGACCAGGAATATAATGGCCTTGACGTCTGGACAAATATTACGTGAACAAAAACATATTCTGTACGTGCTAGCAATTAGCAATCAACAATGTATGCTGGTATTATGTTAAATTCTTACGTCAGTGGTTCTTTCTCGGTGACAGCTTTAAATAACCCAAACAGTCCATACACTTCACATGTCTGTGAATGGGACGTTTCACGTTCAGAAGCGTCGCCTTAGTAACAGCATGAACTCAAAACAGTAAACACTGTGATTTTGGTCTAAATACTTTGGTCTAAATACTTAATACCTATCCTTATATAGTGCCCTATAGTAGTCAGGTACCATCACTGAGTTTTTATTGGACATGGCCACATCACTCTTGTTGCCGTTCTGAGAGCCAAGCAACGTCGACATAACGACATAACTATTCACTGTTGAGATAACCAATGAGCATTTAAAACGATTATCAAGTGGCGAGAATACGGCATTGAGATGTTAGTTAGTTTACAATTTTTCTACTATATAATGGGTATACTAGAATGAATAAAACATTAATTAAAAAGCTGTTAAACATAATCGAGAATTACACAGTTGCACTAGGTAAAATATAGGCGCCAAAACTTAGTTGTTAAAACGGATTGTTGCTTCAATCAGTGGTTAACAAAAGTAAACTGACTACGTAATAATCGGACAATCGGACAATTATGTATACAAAATAGCAAAATCTGCGCGCAATGTTTCATGAGAGGATAGATAATTGTGCCCAAAAATTGTGTCTTCAATTTAACTTGTTATACGAATAATTAGAAATATAAAATGATAAAACCAGATAATTGAGATCTTTAAAACGCTATCCCGGCGTTTTGGTTCGAATGAGAATATCCTGGAAAAAAAAGTTTTTTAAAATCTATTGATTGTTGAAAGTGCCCTAACTCTGATACTATCCCAGAGGTTTAACCTACGGCTACAAAAGCGACGTATGGTCGTGCGGTTGCGTTCTCTACGAAATGTTGGAACTCCGCAAGACATTTGATGCAACCAACCAGCTCCGTCTAGTTTACAGCATCGTGACAAAAGAGGTAGGTTCTGGTCATGATGGTGTTTTTGTTGTGGTTGTTGTTGTGATAGTTTATTTCAATTCTCTAGAGTTATTTTCATGTTACTAGACTTCACCCATATATTTTGTATAACAATTGTTTAATGTTTATCTTACCATTCGTTAAATTATTCGTCACGTTTAGCGCAAACCACGCAGCCGGCTATCACTTACCATGCATTTATGTGTATTCCTAGAAAAGCTATTAACTTCTTTTTTCTTTGTATTGATCGCATGTTTAGACCTATTCATCACCTATTCTGTATTGTTAAACATCTGACCACGCGCTCAAAAATCTTATTGTCGACCTTCGCATCAGTTACTCAAAGTGTCACCTGACCACAAATCCCGACATTTTGTAAGTAAAGTTGCCTAAATGTCATCATCTAAAGTTGGTGAGCAGTTTTCATATCTGAAATTTGATTGATACCAGCTGTAACTCTATTTTTGCACCGTTAGTTATGGTGTACAACTGTACGCACAATCAGTACATGGATTGTGTTCCATTTCTAGTATCGTTCCACTCTGGTAATATCGTGACAGGTCTGGTGCACTTCGTGTAAAGTGTTGCTCATTTAAAAGTTAACACTTAAACATGGCTACTCAGTATACATTACTTAAACATGAGAATCCTGTCAAGTTCGACAGTTCCGTGTTTTTGTGGAGCTCCATTTATTTGTTGGTTTGTTGGTGACTGGTGACTGGTATGAGGTATCTCTTTAATGTTTAGGTATGTGATTTTAGCTTTATTCTCCTTCTTACTGAACTGTCTGAATACCAAGCTAATCGTGCTCATTTTCTTTTGTAGGTCACTGTCAGTTCGAGGTGTCAGTCGTCCAATATCTGAATTATACTCCCAGAATAGCTTCACAGACAATGCAAGCATTTTTAACCCGGCACTGAAAATCACATATTTGACTTGTTTAGGTCGGGGTAAACCTGTAAACGTGGAATATCCGGTTTATCTGGTGTTCGCTGCCTTTGTTTTCGAAAATTCACCCAATTTACGACGATATGCTAATTTACCTAAGTAAAGATATGGATATATTTTTCCGCACTGCTTCAGTATAACTGATTTTACCTCGTTCTTTTTCATCGGAATGTGTTTTAGTTTTCCGGATTCTGTTTAGACCTCAGCCTATTAAGTGTGGAACTGATTTTTGTTGGGCAAAGAAAATCAAACCCTTAATTCACGTTAGTCACACAGTGAAGCACTTAAGTAACATTACAATCTAAAATTCCAATCTACATGGCACATATTTTAATGATTTCAAATATTAGAAATTGTCTGTGCAATTTATCAGACCTTATATCAGATTTAAACCTTTCTGTCGTGAATAAATGTGTAATAAAATTAATCACATGAATAGCAATTAATAAAACTCATCTGTGAAGATATTACTGACAATTTTATTAGCATCACACCGCACTTATTGCTATCAACACCTCTAGAAATCTAAAAAATGTACATATCAGAGAAATGTACCAACGGCATTGTTTCAATTAATTATTGATCTAAAATTAATTGCACGTCTCAGCGGGGGTCATATTCTATTAAAAGATGTGACGCTCTTCCTTTACTCTCAATGTGCTGCTTGCAGGTGATAAATGAAGTACAGAGCTTTGACCATTGACAAAGGCAAGCATATTATCTGAGGTCACATAATATTATGTTGAAATATACCAACAAACATAATACACATCTCATGATTAATATGATATAAAACTAGTGATCTCCTTTGATAGTGTAGGCACTAAGTGTAGGCACTAAGCAGGAATCGTATCTATGCGAGCTATTTGAGGATTTAGTTGTTTCGTAATAGAAGGCCTCTAAGGTATCTAGTGTTAGTTTCTATTGCACGAGATATTCCGGGCCGAACTTCTGCTGGGAAATGGAATAAAGCAGGATGATCATCATCAGACATTTTCAAGAAAAGAGCAAAGAAAAAGAGAGCAGCCGATGCTACAACCGGGATGTTGACATACCTGCAGTACATCTCCCTTACACTAAAACTGTACTGACTACCACAAAACACGCCCACCCCACCAATGTGACCCAGACTGGAATTCAGGAGAAAGGAGACCAGGAATGTTACTACTCCCCGAGGCAGCCTTTGTCGACCACGGTTAACACAGAGGATGATAAGGAGGAGGAATGCTGACAGTGCTGAAAGCTGGGCCCAGCTGCCGACCCCGCGGTGCGCGCAGAAATCAGGTGCTGTCGGGTATGAGGTAACCAAGATACCAAGCAACTTCTCGAATGTTAATTGCGCGCAAACTCCCGTTAAGAAGATAGCAGTTCCTGGGGTGAAGACGCTCAGTCGGCAAAGGAGAGCATGTCTTTCGTCTGGAGGTAGTTCAGAATGATCTGTGGTTACTGGGGATCTTTTCAAGTAGTTAATAGCGACAAATACTGCTGCTGAAGCGAAGATTGGGGTAGTTGAGTATTGGAAAATCTCCAGCGAAATCCTATAGTCAAAATGTTCGTTCAAGCAATAAACTCCGGTGAATCCAACACTCCCAACGCTAGCATTTAGTATCAACGATCCAACAAATGTCAATGTCCCACGAAGCAGTTTATTTTTACTGGGTGTCCTTATAATACATAATACGGTAAGCAGAGTGGACAGCAACACTAGCTGTAACCAGCCAATACCGGGATAATCACAGAACAGCGCTAATCTCCATGTTATCTCAAAGTACTCCGAAGGAGGAGATAAGTCCATCTGTAGAGCGATCTTCTCGAATGTGATCTGGGAGAGGATGCCTGCTAGGATCAGGGTGGGGGTGGGGAGATCTGGGTTGACCATGTCCGATCTGAGGAAGGTGTTTTCTTAGAATTTGGAATGAGAAATTATTGGGCGGTCGTGAATAATAATATAATATTATGATAATTTAAAATGTTTTTTATCTAAACAAGATTTCATAATTTTCGAAATTTTTGTATGGAGTATAAATATATACGTCAAACTTAAAAACAAATCATAATTTTGTTCGCTCGGACTGGAAAAAATTAATAAAACAAAACCACAAGCTCTCTAAACAAATTATGAAAGCGGAAGACATCTGTTTTTGGTACACGTGCAACCTGTGAGTGACAACACAATGAGAACAAGACACTACAAAGCACCGACTGATTATGTATTGTCTACATCCCAGACCCTGTCAATTAAAACTCCAAAAGACGTACGTTTTCACGTAATAATTGTTCTAAACGTTTTCTCCTAAGTTTCCCAAAATATACCAAGAGTAAAATAAAACAGATCCTAGCCTAATTTAACCAATCATTGTCGCTGTAAAACTACACAGCCCAGATGCTGGCAGGTGATTGGCTGACCAATATCCTACCGCTGGATACGGACGTCTAATGGTAGGCACTTCACAGATATTTACAACCGATAAACATTAAACAAGTATATAATATACCAAATACCTAAAATAACGATCGTATCTTGAAATATGTCTTTGGTGATCTGTATTTGCAATTATTTCGGTAAATTAACCCTGTAATCATGGTCTTAATTGCTGCATTACTTTAGTTGGCAGGCTGATGAAAATATTGCTTGCAGAGAGCTTGCAGTTAAGAAAATTTACTGAGAGATTTGACAATTACCGATAGAAATAGTCTTAATATAGAAACAGCCAAAAATAATAAATTTCCAATTTTTTTCTGATTAAAATGGTGTCATTATCTCTCAAATTCAAAATCAAAGAACTCTTTATATTTTAAAATACTCAAATTATCAAATTGTCAAAACAATCATTATAAAGCTTAAAAAGTTTATCTGAATATGATCAAAATCGTATCTGCGTTAGTCTCGAGTCGGCATACCGCATCTAGAAAGTAAAATACAATAATGGTTCAGTTCTTTCATTTATATCTGTTGTCGATATATATGATCGGGCTATAAATGCCCTGTTTCGTTTCATTTCATTTTACTGAACTGCAATGGGCGTGAGATGCCTGTCCGGTTGGCGGTTGACGGTCACTAATGACGGCCAGTAACTGCACTTACTTTCGTTTTGCACCATCAGAAGGTAAAACTCAAGGAAATTCTAAATCTTTTTCCTGTACTGCAATGGTGGTGAGATGCCTGGCAGGTACCGTTGTTATGATAATGACAGTCACTAAACTCACTTTCTTTTCAGTTCAAGCCTGTAAGCGAGTCATGGAGTCAGGATCTGAGGAACATTCTCACAAGCATGCTTCAGAAGGTAATGTACATAGTAATACTGTGTAATTAGGTAATTACAATGTAAATAGTCCGGTGCATGCCAGAGTTAAGACTTTTTGTCAACTCAAAGCTCTGTCAGTAGTTCTCCGAGCAGCAAGCTGTAAGTAGGAGCTGTAAAGTAAGAGCTGTTGCTCTAAATACTTGCTAGTTCAGGCATAGTTACGAACTGTAACTGCTGGCGTTTAAATCTAATGGTCCGTTTCCGGTTACACTTGGTTACTGGACACACTTCACGAAACATATGTTCAAGCTGTAATCTAGCTGTGAGCAATCTTGTTAGAGCTCAAGCTACAACAAACAGCTACTATTCCATAGTAAAATAACGTTACCTAATACACACTTTAACTCCACATTAACGGTCACCATATTTTCAGGACCCAGCTAACCGGCCGACAATGCAGGAGATATTAGACACCCCCTACATGAAGGGGTGTACAGGTATACTCGAGAATAGACTGGGTCCTCAGAACTATGTTCGGGGTTTGTCCCAGTTGTCTCCGGGAAGACAGCCAGTTCTCTCCCATCTCAGCTCGGAGGTATGAACCGTAGCTTGTTCCTTGAATCTTTATTTTCTTAAGAATCCGCAAGTCAAAACCCATAATGTGCGTCGAAATTATGCCACAACCAAAGTAGCAAAGTGAATACCCTTCTGGATTTGTTACTCGGTTTCTTGCCAGTCAAGCTCTGTCATTACATTGTTGGTGACCACTGATAGTATGATATTTAAACACTATGTTATTATGTTCAAAGTTTTGTGGCTTACTGATAAAAATTCAGTTTTTCTAATGTTTCACTGCTGTCAGCAGCTAGCTCTGTCGGCCGGCCAAGAGTATTAAAGTTACACTGAATATCGGAGAATTCTCATTGTCGAGTTGATATCTCTGTCAATTCGATCGTAAGTGTTCAAATGTCACGAATCTGCAAATCAGAACCAATGGATACCTCAGATCTCAATAAGATAACTTAACGTGTATTAGTGTGAAAGCCTTACTTTATAGAGGTTTTCTGTGTTAGCGATCGCATTCCTTGAAAACTTGGGTTAAAGAACCACGCCATTTGCCACCAAATTCCTTGGATTTACTATTAAATCAGAAGCACTCAATTTGAACTTGTTGAACCTATTGGGAATTTAGACGTGGGCATCATGCCATCATCGCGCAATCTGCGACTGCACCAGTCGGGTATCTAGTTAGAGTATTCTCCGCTGTATCCACTATCCAGGGTGCTTGTCATAGTCGTTTGGGTATTGACAACTTTGGGGAGAACATTCCAGAGTCTTCCAGCTCGTAGCCCGTAGCCAGAGTGTGTAAAATTTTTTTTCCAAACTCACAATGACCTAATGCAACTTTTTGGAAGGTGAATCAATTATTGGACCATGTTTGTGTTTTTTGATACAGCCTAGTATCCAGGGTGCTTGCCATAGTCGTTTGGGTATTGACAACTTTGGGGAGAACATTCCAGAGTCTTCCAGCTCTCACTGCGAATGAGTTGTCGTAGCCCGTAGCCAGAGTGTGCACCAGCTGATGCTTTTTTAGTGAAGGGAGTATTACTTTAACTCCCAGTCTGGCATTCTCTATGAACTGTATATATATGAACTGTATATGATAGGGTAGTGTGGATATCATAAAATGCCAGACTAGAATGCCAAACCTCTTCATTTTCGATGAAATGTTAAGATACTATTTTGACTCACGTCGAAGCCTCTTACTTCGCTAATATGTAAGTGTTAGTCCTTGCTTGATGCCCTTAAATCCGAGAGAAAAATCAGCATCGCCGACGTTACGCGCTAACACTAAATGACATTGAATTGAGGCAACATTTCAAGAAACGCATTTAGTGCAACATTTTGGCGCGTATATTTGCGCGCACATGTGAAATTATAGATATTTGGACCACATGTAACATCGACGACTACCTTCAAATATCATTTGAAGGTTCATATTTGAGATTATGATATGTGTGTATTAGGGCTATTATCAATACATCAGCAGTAAACATATTCCTTAACCAGGTGTACATATGGGGAGGAGGGAAGACATCGCCACAAACCCTGGCTACATTCAAGAAGGAGCTGGGTGCAGTGAAAGTTTGTGTAGCTCCTAAACATTTCTGTGTTGTGACAGTGGAAAAAGAGCTGTATGTTTGGTCCTCAGGTACTGTAATGGAATCATACAAAGAATGCTAGCCTATAATGAGTAGTTTAGTTAACTCAGCCTTGAGCCTGATTGCAAAGCTGATTAGTGATCATTCTGAACACCAAACAATATCATGTTCACTACACAAATACTTCAAATTATATACAGCCCACTTTTCACACCCCTCACATTCCACTGATCACGTGATATCCTCCGCAGGACACCCAGGAGAGATGTGCGGACAGCTGGGTCACGGAGACAAAGCCAGCTACCGGTCACCCAAACGAGTTGAACACTTGGTGGGTAATGGTGTGGTGGATGTTGTGGCGGGAGATGACTTTACCCTGGCTGTGGTGGAGGATGAATACGATGGGGTTAGAGTACTGGTCAGTTCCATTCATTTACTTGTTAATTGATTGCGAGATGAGCTGTAGGCCACGATCGTTTGCAATTTATTTCCGTGCCAAGAAATGATATTAGATAATTTGATATATTATACCAAATCAATCTATTCAATGATTTAATATCAATCCAACGTATATACACTATACAGTGCAATTAGTGACTATTATACATTTATTTATGTCGAAACCCAATAAGCATTGACAATAATCCAAAGATAATATTCAGGTAGCATTTGGAAGTAATTACGACGGATGTTTAGGGCTGGGAGAAGAGGAAGACAATAATTTAGTTCCAGTTCCGATTCCCTTTTTTAGCGGGGTCTCTGTCGTCAGTGTGTCCTGTGGAGATGCCCATGTTATGGCAACTACTAGTCTCGGAGAATTGTAATTACTTTTTACTATTCTTATGTAACATAAGTATTTCCTGGGGATGTACAGTTTGTGATTGTTCATTTATGAGATTTTTATGCATGTCGTAAGTCGTACAGACTGATTACGCATTTTATAATCAATTTTGGGACTGTTAGATTCGCGATTTTCGTTACTACGTAACTGGAACAATGGGACAAAATAAATACCGTTGCTACAGTGTTATCATTTAATTATCTGCTATGGATATGTTAATAAACTGTTCAGGTACGGATGGGGTAACGGAGAGTACGGTTGTCTTGGAAACGACTGTGAGGACATTGTTTACATTCCTCAGAAACTGGAGATCAGGGGCACAAAGTTTGCGGCAGTTTCCTGTGGAAAACAATGCTCTTTCGTCATTACAACTGGTGGTGAGTTGGTTTTTTAGGTGAAACATCAGTAAACTAGTCCAGCCTTCTGACTGGAACAATGATAAAATTATAGTATCTACTGGTTTCAGAATGAGTCAAATTATGATAATTTTAAAATGTTACTGTATAGTCAGTATTCAGTCGATGATTAATCTAGCTGAACTACAACTGCAGGAAACCTCGTAAGTATGTCGCTGCATATGTTTCAAAGTTAGGTGTACAAATTTGGATGAGTTCTTTTTATTTAAGCTTCACGGGTGTGTTCAGGTAAACTAATGGCCTGTGGTGACAACCAAGACAACAAGTTAGGTATCAACAAAATAGGGAGGAAAGGTTCTAAAGTGGCTAAGTGCGGGGAGACCTTCACTTTTAAACCTGTCTACGGTCTTTCCTCGGTCGCTATCAGGGTTCGTACTTATTTTCTTGAAAATTTCTTTAAAAGATTAATTACAGCAGCTACTTAGTCCGGATAAGAACGTTAATTGACTTCGTGTCCACTTTAAGAATTAGGACGTCAAGCCACCTCTTAATATAAGCAAGCAGGTAGTCTAATCTTTATTTACGGACTGGCTTGTGGTGTCGACACACAGTGGTGATAGAATGCGTACGGACAGGATCAGGACATTTAGGGTCGAACAAGTGTGGACAACGCGTAATAGACACTACAAAAGTCTAACAGTTCATCCAACCATCGTTCAAGGCAAAAATGCCGTAAGCTAGTCTGTTAGAATTAGATGCTACCACTTTAAAGATAAGTTGAAAACTACCCATGACAGTTTCCGCTGAAAACTTGAAACACGTTCCTATTTAACTCCAAACAAATCAACAAGTGAGTGATGATCACTATAACTCTGAATGAAGAATTATTATCTAACGACCCTTGTCGTGTGCAGTAAGAAGATACACTAATTTCGGCGGGGACAGGTTCGACAGTGGCAACTACTGTAGATCAGAGGTATACTCCTGGGGATACCGAAATCAAGGTCGTGGGGATGCATAAACAACGAAACTTGGAAACTAGGTTGGTAACTTGCGGTTGAGAGAACCTGCCCATTTAACGCGATAGTTTTGGAGGATTTACTTAAATAAGTATGTTACTCCTATTTTTGAACACATCTTTTCAGTGCGCGAACAGTGGTTTTTGTACCCCGACGCCTAATCTTCAGTTCTCTCCACTTACATCCCTGTCCTGTCTAGCAAGAGGCTGTACACTCTTCTAGTTGCATAACAGGTGACACATTGTTATGTTCTCGAAGTTTTTAATGGCATTTTAAAAAAAAAAAGCTGGTTAGCACGCCATTTTTTTGTAGCGTAAACCGAACGTTTAATTGACCGGGATAATCCACGCTATCGAAAGTTTTTCTTTAAATGTTACCTAACTTTTGGAAATTCCCGTCCCCCTAAGGTCTTTCAATAATAACCACTTTAATAATCTGTCTAACGTCCAGGTGATATCAGCTCTAAATGATCGGCGCATCTGAACAAGGGACCCGACAGGACTCTATAGTGTTCCGCCAAAACTCCAACCTGGCTTCATAATGAGATGGAACTGTGCGGACCAGCTACCCAGCCTAGGACTCCTAACTTCGGTTTGTTTAAACCTTGGTAGTTTATAATGAACTCATCCTGCAATATTAGCAGAAGCTTTATTAGTTGTATGAAGAGTGGTTAGTATGTATCAGCAAGAGATTGACTTCTGTTAAAAATGTACATTACTGTATTAATATCATTATTACTTCCTTATCATGAGTGTAATGCTGCGTGTCAGGTATACCAATAACTTTGTCCTCAGTTCGCCTATATAACATATTTTTATTGTTTGACCAGGTGGCGGGAAGATGTTCCGGAACGAAATGAGTCTGAGGAGTTACGACCACCAGTCCTCCAGCGGTGTTTCCTCTGCAAACAGCCAGGATCTAGTGACGTCAGATAGCGGTCATTCATCCGGCAGTCAGCAGCTGCCGTCATCAAAATCAGTTTCGTCCGCAGCAGCAAACAGCTCCAGTTCTGGTATCGTTTCATCAGACAATGAACCATCTCAAGCTGAAGCAGTATCCCAAAACTTAGCGGCTTCCAAACCAACAGACTGTTCAAAACCAGCGCAGAGTATTGTACCGGACCCGTCCCCTGCCGAAGCTCCTAGTCCTTCTCGAAATGATACCCCGCCCACATCCCCACCTCCTGAGTTCAGAGCTGAGTTCTCGTTCAGCGAGGTGAGGCTACAGGAAGCGCTAGCTAAGTCAACTAGAGCAGACATAAACTCACTGGCAAGTCCTGATTCAAGCGGTGGACTATCAGGACGGGACAGTCTGCCCACACCTACCCCTCAACTTCAAGTTATTACAGAAAGTGTCAGTATGGAGGAGAGGGTGAGGCAGTTAGAGACTGAACTAGAACGGGAGAGACAGAAGATCAAGGAACGAGATAAGACTATTGCAGAACTTGAACAGAAACTCATGAAGTATCAGATTGATGAACTGAAAGGGGTCATGGATTGATGGAATATACAACTAGGGCTTATTAGGGTACTAATTGATTCATTTTTATCGATCTTATCATTGAAACGGACCAGCCAGCTGAGGTTAGAAGAAAACGTTTTCGAGTGTATATTTATATTATATTTAATCTTCTACCGATTTGAAATAGGAAATTTATATTAAAGCTTTTTAAACGGAAGATGAATTTGAAATGATTTAATTTTAAAGATAAATTAAAGTGGGAAAGGGTTCTTTTTAACTCGTTTAAATGAAGTTAACAATGCAGTTGTTAAAAGAGCTTGTACATGATAGTCTCCGCATATGTAGACAGTATAAAGGTCTCCAACTACACTGCTAACAAACTTGTTTACACTTTGTTTAGATCTGAGTATCGTGTTATCAGTCACTGAAACATTCTTTACTATCTGTATAAACCAACCGGACTTCTTCGTTCTTATTATATAACATACCACTGCACTGCGTTTTTTATTTATCTAGGTTCGTCTTAATCGTCTAGTTGTTGAATGTTATAGAGGTTCTTCATCTCAGTTTTCGATCTAAGTCGGTCAATATAGTGGGACCAGTCCGTTGCAAAGGTAGCGGTGGTTTATTGTTTGCCTCGCGTTTTTATAGTAGTATTATATTATAAGAATACGTTACAATACCTAACGAGGGTTTACAGTATTTTTGCAGTTTGGTTCTTCTTCTCGATTTGTCAGTTGAAAAAACTTGTGGATATTAACGGACTGAACTTAGATACTCTCTTCATTTTTTTATATAGACACATTTTGAAAGCAATTTTAGATTTACTAAAATACGATTTCACTACTCTTCTTGTAGTTTAGCTCAATTTGATGTTTGTTTATTCTTTCAGTTACAAGAATCTGTTGAGAGTGTTTGTAGGAATGTAATATTTGTTGTCCTTGTAAATCTTGTTAATACTGTTCATAGAAGTTTGTTGAACAAAAAAGGATGAATATTATTGTTGTCGACGAAGATGAAGTACCCGATAAATCAAATCGCCAGAAGGTACTGTTGCACATTGGATGATCGAGGCTATTAAATTTAATGGGTTGTGCTCGTGATGAATATTGCCAACATGTCTGTGTAGGAGTCAACAACTAAAGAGGAGAATTTTATGACCAATTTTTACTACGACTAATCCGTGATCATTTTTGTTTTAATTTTGTAATTACACAATTAACTTATCTACCAAGCTTGTCTGTTATAGTGTTATCGATATGCAATGATTTAGACTTAACCACTTTTTTTTCGTAGTCAAAATTAGTCATAACATCCTCCAAATCATGAGAACAAGATACTTTCAAATCTGCTATCTAATAGTAATATCCCAGCAAAGCAACAAGATTCTGGACCATACTGATCGTATTCCATTTTCTACAGATTCTCATTGCCCTCCTGATATTTCTTCTGCCGTTTATTGGTGGCCTGTACGTTAACGTTTATTTTAACTCTGCGGAAAGCGACGAGAAATGGTACAATGCACTCGTCACCACGGAGTTCCAGCCCCCATTTTATATATTCGGACCAGGTAGCCAATTAATATAATTCTTTGGCAATTGAATTGGTAAATTGAAAAATTGCGCTGAGCAACGTCAATAAATTATATATGTAGTATTGTAGTCTTATTCTCATTTCTCATAATCAGAATCTCATGATCTGCAGTATAAAGGTGCAGTGCACATTAATCTAAACACAGTCACGTTTATGCACAGATTTTTAACGTGACATAAATTATGAACATGCCACATGAAGTGCTTATTTTCTATTCAGTATTTTCATATGCATTACCGATTACGTATCTAATAGCTAGAAAGCTAATAGGGGGGGGGGGGTGTCACGTCCGTCTATGTCCGCTTGTCTCATAGAATCCAAAAAGGACAGGACATAGGCGGACATAGACGGACATAGGCGGACATAGGCGGACATAGACGGACATAGGCGGACATTAATGGACACCTAAATTGCTAAATAAAATGTTCAATTTTTGCTGTTATAGGGAGATCATGTTTTTTGTCCGTTCGGTACCCTATATTTTCAAAACGGACAAAAAATAGAGCGGACAAAAACGGACAAAAATGGACAAAAACGGACAAAAATGGAAATAACATTGAGATGCTTCCTCCTTCTACTCTTCCTCCTCCTACTCTTCCTCCTCCTCCCCCTGGGTCTTCCTGATCTTCCTCAGTCCTCTTCCTCCTCCCCTCCTCAGTCCTCCTCCTCGTCCTCAGTCCTCCTCATCAGTCCTCAACAGTCCTCCTCCTCCCCAGTCCTCCTCCTCCTCCTGAGTCCTTCTCCTGGGTCCTCCTCCTGGGTCCTCCTCCTCCTCTTCATCCTCCTCCTCTTCCTCCTCAGTCCTCAGTCCTCCCCCAGTCCCCCTCCTCCTCCTCCTATTCAGTCCTCCTCCCCCTCCTCCTTCTCAGTCCTCCTCAGTCCTCCTCCTCCTCTTCCCTCTCAGTCATCCTCCTCAGCCATCCTCCTCAGTCCTCCTCAGTCCTCCTCCTCAGTCCTCCTCCTCCTGGGTCCTCCTCCTCCTCTTCATCCTCCTCCTCTTCCTCCTCGGTCCTCAGTCCTCCTCCTCCTGGGTCCTCCTCCTCATCCTTCTCATCAGTCCTCCTCCTCCCCAGTCCTCTCCCAGTTCCCCTCCTTCTCCTCCTCCTATTCAGTCCTCCTCCTCCTCAGTTCTCCTCAGTCCTCCTTCTCATTTCTCCTAAGTCCTCCTCCTGAGTCCTCCTCCTGAGTCCTCCTCCTCTTCCTTCTGAGTCCTCCTCCTGAGTCCTCCTCCTCCTCCCTCTCAGTCATCCTCCTCAGTCATCCTCCTCAGCCATCCTCCCCAGCCATCCTCCTTTGCTGTTATAGGGAGATCATGTTTTTTGTCCGTTCGGTACCCTATATTTTCAAAACGGACAAAAAATAGAGCGGACAAAAACGGACAAAAATGGACAAAAACGGACAAAAATGGAAATAACATTGAGATGCTTCCTCCTTCTACTCTTCCTCCTCCTACTCTTCCTCCTCCTCCCCCTGGGTCTTCCTGATCTTCCTCAGTCCTCTTCCTCCTCCCCAACTCAGTCCTCCTCCTACTCCTCCTCCTCGTCCTCAGTCCTCCTCATCAGTCCTCAACAGTCCTCCTCCTCCCCAGTCCTCCTCCTCCTGAGTCCTCCTCCTGGGTCCTCCTCCTGGGTCCTCCTCCTCCTCTTCATCCTCCTCCTCTTCCTCCTCAGTCCTCAGTCCTCCCCCAGTCCCCCTCCTCCTCCTCCTATTCAGTCCTCCTCCCCCTCCTCCTTCTCAGTCCTCCTCAGTCCTCCTCCTCCTCTTCCCTCTCAGTCATCCTCCTCAGCCATCCTCCTCAGTCCTCCTCAGTCCTCCTCCTCAGTCCTCCTCCTCCTGGGTCCTCCTCCTCCTCTTCATCCTCCTCCTCTTCCTCCTCGGTCCTCAGTCCTCCTCCTCCTGGGTCCTCCTCCTCATCCTTCTCATCAGTCCTCCTCCTCCCCAGTCCTCTCCCAGTTCCCCTCCTTCTCCTCCTCCTATTCAGTCCTCCTCCTCCTCAGTTCTCCTCAGTCCTCCTTCTCATTTCTCCTAAGTCCTCCTCCTGAGTCCTCCTCCTCTTCCTTCTGAGTCCTCCTCCTGAGTCCTCCTCCTCCTCCCTCTCAGTCATCCTCCTCAGTCATCCTCCTCAGCCATCCTCCCCAGCCATCCTCCTCAGCCATCCTCCTCAGTACTCCTCAGTCCTCCTCCTTCTCAGTCATCGTCAGTCCTCCTCCTCAGTCCTCTTCAGTCCTCCTCCTCCTCCTGGGTCCTCCTCCTCCTCCTCCTCCTGGGTCCTCCTGGATCTTCCTGATCCTCCCCAGTCGAGTCCTCTTCCTCCTCCCCTCCTCAGTCCTCCTCCTACTCTTCCTCCTCGTCCTCAGTCCTCCTCATCAGTCCTCAACAGTTCTCCTCCTCCTCCTCCTGGGGCCTTTTCCTGGGTCCTCCTCCTGGGTCCTCCTCCTCCTAGGTCCTCCTCCTCCTGGGTCCTCCTTCTCCTCAGTCCTCTTCCTCCTCTTCCTCCTCCTCCGCCCTCTCAGTCATCCTCCTCAGCCATCCTCCTCAGTCCTCCTCCTTCTCAGTCCTCCTCAGTCCTCCTCCTGAGTCGTCCTCCTCCTCAGTCATCCTCTTCAGTTCTCCTCCTCCTCCTAGGTCCTCCTTCTGGGTCCTCCTCCTCCTCCTCCTCCTGGGTCTTCCTGATCCTTCTCCTCCCTCTCAGTCATCCTCCTCAGTCATCCTCCTCAGTCATCCTCCTCAGCCATCCTCCTCAGCCATCCTTCTCAGCCATCCTCCTCAGTACTCTTCAGTACTCTTCAGTACTCTTCAGTACTCTTCAGTACTCTTCAGTCCTCAAAATGTTTGTCCGCTAATGTCCACCAATGTCCGCTAATGTCCACCAATGTCCACCCAAGTCCGCCAATGTCCGTCCGGGTCCGCCAATGTCCGTCCGAGTCCGCCAATGTTCGTCCGAGTCCGCCAATGTCCGTCCGTGTCCGCCAATGTCCCAAAAAACATAGACGGACATGACACCCCCCCCCCCCTAATAGTTACCTGGGGACCTCAGGCTATTATGTTCATAAACATAGAATAGAGATTCGGCGGAATGACAGGCTGAGCGCGGCCCAGTAAGCTAATATTGACCATGGCATTTTGCTCAGTAATGTACACGCATAATAAACAAGCGCTACCAGTACCACTACCAGCTACTAAAATTAAGATTTGGACATTTCTTATTGCAACAATCCTGGTCACTACTCGGGTCAAGCAACAATGCATGGAAAATGTCTGTCAAGTGCAATGGAAGTATAACTACACTAACTATTCAATTTCAATGTCTTTCACTTTCACTTTCACTTTCACTTTCACTTTCAGTGTGGACAGTTTTGTTGGTACTTAATGGCGGAGCAGCCTACATGATTTGGATGAAATCTGGTTTTGGAGAGGCCCCTCTTGCGTTTGTGAGTATTTAATGTGCAAATATACAATAAGCGAAATAACACCAGTTAGAATTCTTCAGAACTCCTTTTGAGCGTTAATTCCATTAAAAAGAAAACTAGCTCACAGCAGAATCGACCAGCACAGCTCGATTGTTACCTACAATCTCACAATTCTTGTCCAGGTGCTATACTACATACAAATAATCCTAGCGATATGGTATGTGCCCCTCTTCTTCACACTCCACAAGCTCCTGGGATCCTTCTTGGTTCTCGCAGCTCTCTGGTCGATGCTCTGCATCAAACTCATCATGTTTGCTAGGATTTACTACTTTGCCGGCATTCTCGTGGTGCCCTATCTGATATGGGTCACCTTTAACACTATCTTAAACTTCTCAATATACAGACTCAACTGATTTAACTTGAAAACTACGAACCAGTTCATTGTGCGTACATTACGCCAGGGATGATTGATGAAACAGTAGTAACAGACTGGTATATTGACATCTAAGAGCATCGAGAAAAGAGCTCCTTAGTCAGTTTATGGATTTTATAAATACTTGAGCAGAGCTTTTATTAATTTACTTGTAACGGTTTAATATTGTGTTATGATAACTTTTGTATTGAAAAAAGGAAAGAGAAACATTTAAGTGTACAAATGAACATGTATCATCAATATATCGAAACAATACTTAAGATATCATTCAAAATATAAACCATTATACGCGATCCGCTATTTATTATCATTAGGAACAATCTCTGGGTACATCTGGCCCATTTCGGGTTTAATAAGTCAAAACTCATGAAAACGGCCAATTCTACCAGGACGGAAAATAACAGTGCCATAAATCACTAAATCTTCTGACGGAATTTGTTAAGTATTTCAAACAAACCGGAAGAGCTTTTATTATAACTATGAATCTAAAATTCTCATTGATCACAATTTAACCAGATTTACCCAGCGTGGTGAGGTGATATTTATAAAGTTATTGTTGGAAAATAAAAACAGTTTTAAACAAATGACCAGTTAGACCTACAAAAATATATATTTGTAAACTGCAAACGCACTAGAATATTCCTTTTAAACACAATCCAAATTCCTGGTTTATTTTATACCAAAAAGGAACTTATTGGTTACCGACCATTGCAATAAATCAGCCAAGAAAAAATAACTTGGCGCCGTTAGCAGCCTACAATATTACACAAACTTACATTTGGTAGAAAATGTTATTACATCAAAGATGAAACACGAATTAAAAACATCCTACAATACATCGCTTTTAAAAAGAAATTAGCCATCAGTTCTAAGTGTATCAGGTATCCTCACATGGGGAATAAATTTGATCGAATCAAGGATTTCAAGCTGCTGTGTAAAACTAATCATACCACCGCCATTAAATCATCACGTTAAGTTATGTGGAATAATTATCCGTATAATCCTATAATACAGTAAAAAGGAGGCTAAGCTACGAATTACGCGAATTACGCGTTAAATTCAACATATCATTAAAAACTTGAAATGAGCAGATCAGTTTTGGACTGAAACTAACGAACTTTTTGAATCTATATGAAAGATGATTAACTCGTGCACATTTTGCAAGAGCCTTTTTTCTTGTGGTGGTCAGAATTCAAGTTGATTTCACCCTTGGGGACTGCAGGTGCTTCCTGGGGAGGAATTAGAGGTAAACGTTTAGTCTCTTAATTTAAGGTGGTTACGAAAAGTAATTAACAATCTCAGGAACAGTGGCGTAACGTTGCCTGTTGGCGCCCCCCCCCCCCCCCCCCGCCGAAAAGGCGCCCCCCTGTTGGCGCCCCCTCCCCTTTTGGTGCCCCTCCCTAAAATTGAACAAATTAGGTGATTTTAGAGGATGAGCCGGTAAAATCTCTAAAAAAGTGTGTATCTAGAGCAAAACGCGCAGTTTTGCTAGTACTTTAGTTAAGTTTTCGAAATTGTCCCATATTCAAACGACGATTAGGCGCCCCCCTAAGACGGCGCCCCCCTGCACTGTGCACAGCGGGGTCAGCGGGGCCCTTCGTTACGCCACTGCTCAGGAATAGTAAAATCAATATGTCAGACGTCAGTAATATAAACTAACCAGCTTCTTTTCTGTCTTCTTTTTGATATCTCCAGCCATGGTCAAGAAAGCTTCCTCTACGTTGAGGCCACTAAGTGCGCTTGATTCAAAAAATTTAACACCGTGTCGCACGGCAAGCTGAAATATTCGGGGTCAATATTTCTGAGAAACGGTACATGAATTTTAAACTCACCTAGGTTAAAGACTATCATGAAATAGTGTTCATCATGATAGAAAGTTATTTGTAATCAATAAATGTTTTTGCCATGAAACGGACCAAACTGATCCTAACTCATATTCCACTCATCATAGCATATCGCTTCAGCATGTACAAAGGGCATTTAACCTCAATCAGTTTAATGTAGTGAAATGACTGGTGTGAATGAAGTAGTGTACTAATACAAGTTGGAGAGGATCAGGTAAGCTTAGTCAGCATCCATGATGTTACAAACCCTCTGGGACATTACTGCGCCCAGTCTCCAAAGTTACAGTAAATTCCTACTACGGACAAACAAACACAGACAAAACACCAACAAGAAACTGATATACACTAGCTAGCTCAGAGAGGAAATGAGTACCGGCTCAGGAGGTATGTCAAAACAGGGCGCCCTTTCGAACACTACTCGGGCTAGAATCAGTGCAATTCGGACACTACTATGCAACTGAACCATGCAAAACTATATAAGTACACCTATGCTGGCAAGGCAATAGGTCAGACTGCCAGTCCTGAAAACCAGTTCTATGATAAGGGTCACGCAAGCCCCGAAGGGTTAATACAAAATCAATAAATGTTTTTGCCATGAAACGGACCAAACTGATCCTAACTCATATTCCACTCATCATAGCATATCGCTTCAGCATGTACAAAGGGCATTTAACCTCAATCAGTTTAATGTAGTGAAATGACTGGTGTGAATGAAGTAGTGTACTAATACAAGTTGGAGAGGATCAGGTAAGCTTAGTCAGCATCCATGATGTTACAAACCCTCTGGGACATTACTGCGCCCAGTTATTTGTAATCACCCAAAGCTAATGTTATTTAAATTAACAACAATAAAAACAAATTGCCATATACTGCAACTAGCTGTAGAGGGTCTACAGTTGCAGTGCTGATTTCGACTTTCTGTACGACACCAGATTACTAGCAATAAGCTTCGAGCGCGCGCACTTTTAACAAAAAGTTATGTTCACAGCAGACCCAGGATCAATGCTGGGATTCTGACGTGTCCACCTATCATTGGTTGTTAACACCTAGATACAATGGTACTGCACTAAGTGAATTCAAGGCCGATAATTAATCTGTAATTTTAAGGATTGCGATCGAATTTCCCATCAATTTAACAGCGACTTAGGACACTGCAACCGGATACATAAGGCTTGTAGAGAGCAGACTTTACACACACAGCACGAATGTAAAACATATTCGGACACATATCGGGCATTTTTAAACAATAAAAGATAAACGAGTGATGACATAGGTTACAGTTAGTAGATCTATGTTTAGAACATGAGCTGACAAAATTCGAGTAAGACATTAGTACACCCCGCTGGAGCAGTATATAATTTATTTGATTAGCGAGGTAGCGGTGATGATGACGAGGAAAAGTAAAACCCTACCGCTTGGCCCTTTTCCTTGGAGACCTGTCTCTTTTCCTCTCTGTCGCACTTGTTACCAAGTATCATTTTCTCAACATCGGGGGCTGCATTCTGAGAGGTTTCAATCATGAGTAGTTTATAACAATTAAGTTTTGTTTCTACGTGAATGACATGATGTTACAAGATTTAAACACAACGCATAAAGTACCCATTTTAGTACCCAATAAGGTGATCATAATTAGCTATTTTCGTCAAGGCCACGATTTCCGGAACAGGTACTTGTTTGTGACAACATGAAGATTGTTGCAGATTAGTAAGGCTGTTAGGCTGAGACTTTTCTGACATGTATGAAAACTTGAACACATCGGATGAAATAGTGAAATGTCTCCGCGAGCCATCAAAAAGCATAGCTCATCAGCTCGAGATTGTCACCAAGTCACACTGCTGTTAAAACTTAGGCCAGACCCCTAAATTATGTAATTCTAAATTACATGTTAGCCATATTAGCGATTGAATGAAACAGATGACAACGTGTACGCATCACAACACACCATTAATAGGCCTGATCAATCATTGCACTTGGCTCCAAGAGAAACGGTAATTTAGTGACACTAAAAGTTTGAGTGGCTCCTACTTGGCAAAACTAAGTGGCATCCTGATCTCACTTCATCGGAATTACATAGAAGCTAATCGAAGCCATACACCCGTCAACTCCCCTGTAAGTTCTGACTTCCCTGTAAGTTCAGACTTCTGAGTACGATACTTACATCTTCTATGTTCCTCATCCAGGTTTTAATGTTGTCAAACGTCTTCTCATCTGAGATGTCGTACACCAGGAATATACCCATCGCACCTCGGTAGTAGGCCGTGGTTATGGTCCTGAATCTCTCCTGGCCTGCTGTATCCCTGAAAGATACAGATTGTATTAAAAGATACAGATTGTACCCTTGAAAGATTGAGAGATGTTCTACATTCAGGGAAATTTCCTCCTCGATATCAAATTTTATCAAAATTTTTGACGATTTCTTGAAATTGGTGGTCTTCAGAACTTGAAGCTTTTACTTTCCATAGCAAGATCTATCATGGCTATAAAAATCTTAATCATCTATTTTAAAAAATCGATAAGGCAAATAACTGGTCTATATTTTTTGTTTCGACACTACCCAGCCTTAACCTACGGAGGTTAAGTTAAAACTTCTATCTTTCTATCGGGTAGGGTAAGGGAAAATTAACACGCTCATTAGGACTCAGAAAAAGAAACAACACCTTATTTACTTGTTTAGCATGCACATGTTGACAAGCTCAATTAGGCAAACTGCCCAACTCTTCTATTCAGCTTATTAGGACAGAAAATAAAACTTTAATCTTATTGAGGTCCGGATAAGACTGTTAAACACACCATCTGACTAGTACATTAGTAAATTAGTACATTAGTACACTAGTACATTAGTACACTAGTACACTAGTACACTAGTACATGATACATCTTGAATCTTGAGTTATAATTGTGGTAGCGATGTGTGTGTTTTTGTTTGTTTGTAATTTACTGACCACTTAATCAAGAAAACGTTAAAACAGTCATAAAACTGTTTTTTTCGGTATAGATTCGACAAAACTCTGAGGAAACAGAATAACTTAAGTGTGATAGTTTCTTACTTTCTCTCTCCTATTTACAGCTTTACCTGTAATGCAAATATAAAACATATATTGGGCCAGTGTTCTCCTCGTCCATACTGGTAATGTTTCATGATTTTTTATAGGTATTTTCTTTTATCACTCGAAATTTACAAACTTTTCTTGATTGCTTGACAATTTTATTAGTGGCTTCATAATTTCGCACCTTTTTAACTGTAACAGTGGAATCCCGCGTTGCACTATGTTGATATAATAAAGTAATAAAAATCTCACTAATAGGCGTATCTAACTGAAGGTTAGAAACTACAACCCCCCCCCCCCCCCCTGAAAAATACTAACCATATCTGGAGCTTTATTTTCCGACCATCAATATCAACTGTCCTTACTTTAAAATCGATACCTGAAAAGTTACATCGATATCACCATCAACTATGATTTATGTGACATAGATTGGGACAGATCACAATAACAAGAATTTGTTTATGAAAACTGGTGTGGTGGACAGGTGGTGCAATGAGACATGACTGCGAAATTAGCCAATCAACTGTTAGCTGATTAGCAGTACCCAATCAACTGTTAGCTGATTAGCAGTACCCACTCAACTGTTAGCTGATTAGCAGTACCCAATCAACTGTTAGCTGATTAGCAGTATCCAATCAACTGTTAGCTGATTAGCAGTACCCAATCAACTGTTAGCTGAAAATATTAACATACTTACCAATAGTGGCAATAAAACTTGTATTAAAAGCATCATCAGAGAATCGAAACAGGAGACATGTTTTACCCACTCCGCTGTCGCCTGAAATTGGATTAAAATCAAAACATCTGATCTGGAAATATCATGAGAATTAATACAATATAAAAAGCAATTATAATAATGTTGCTCTTTTAAATCCAGTATGTTTGTGTCGTCTTATCTAATTAAATGTTAATCGATATAGGGTAAAGTAATTGACAGCTAATAAAACTCACCGATTAAAAGAAGCTTAAAAAGATAGTCGTAGTTTTTTGACGTCATGTTTAGATACTCGCATTATTCATTCCCCCATCCCTACTGCAAAATTAACTCAGGTTAAAAGAGAGAAATAAGCATAAAATGATTGCATTTATACATAATAATATCATTACTTTTTCACTGCCGATGATCTGAATTGTGTGAACAAAAAGTGAATTGAAATCTCAAATAATTGGAATCGGGATAAAATTCAGCATTTTGAAAAGGAGTTTGCATGTTAATTGGACAGCAGCTGATAAGCCGATTACATTCTCCCAATACCAATCCTATGACAGCAGTCTACTGCTCCTATGGTGAGGAGAAAACTGCACTTACGGAAGCCCTGAAATGGATGACAGAGAACCAGAAGTATGATGACACCATCATATGCTCTGATAGCCAGGCATTACTGACTAGCATCGATAGCCTGAACCCAGACACACAGGATATCAGGAAAACTCTGGAATCACTCCATGGGACAACGTACCTGCACTGGATTCCCGGCCACTCCAACATTCCTGGGAACGAATACGCTGACAAAGCAGCAAAGGAAGCAGCACAACTCCCGGACCTGGGCCAAGGACAGTCTACAATCTCATACGGAGTTGCCAGAGCAGTAGCAAAGGCTCACATCAAGGATAGCGACCCCCAACACCACCTGGTCTCCCAGACTTACAAGGGATACAACAGAAAAAGAGCGGACAGTAAAATAGAGAGCAGGAAAGACGGAGCGCTGCTAGCACAACTCAGAGCAGGCCATTGCCTTCACCTGTCCCACTACAAAAATAGGATCGACTCTACAAAGAGTGCAACTTGTCCCCGTTGCGGAGAAGAAGAAGAAACGGTACCACACTGGATTCGGTGCCCTGCAACGATCAGGACGAGAGAAGAAATCTTCGGAAAACCTGACTTAAACTTGGACATACTAACCACCAACCCGATAGAAATCCTGGCGTTTGCTAAGAAGACCTTGCTTGAGGGACCCTTAGACGCCTAGCCCATCACCACCACCACCACAGCAGTCTCGAAGAGAATAAATTTCAGGATATTCAAGCTACGTGACTGTATTAACCTGTGACTCTATCTTTTTCATTATTACCATAATTTCAGTACTGCATTATTTCGAATATGCACGAAAATGGTTTAAACAAGAATAAATAACGCGAACAGTGATAATGATGAGAATCTAAAATATCATATATCAGGCTGACAAGCTTGCAACTGGCAGGATGGGGTTCTTAGTATAGCAAACGGTTGTTTCAATTGCTGATCTTCTTGTAAATCCTGTAGACTAAAATTGCTACTTTCTTTTAAAGGACGTCGTATAGCAATGAAACACTGTTCAGTTAAGGCAACATATTACATAACCATAAAACCCTACAGACAAATATGATATGATAATGACTAGATTAACCGATTAACAAAAATGACATTTGATAAACAAATAACAAGATAAATCTGAAAATAAGAAAATAAGAATTCCTAGAAAAGTTGGCAGACAGAAAGTAAAAACATAAATGCCTAAAAATTGAATATAAGATAAAGATCTTCCATTTGAAAAATCATGATGTCGTAAAGCATAATAGAAGCTGTCCAGCAATAATGATGAGTCAGCAGTAATATTGAGTCAAGTCCAATTTATTGTAACAAAATATGCAGCAGTATCAAGCTATTCACTTTCTTTCCTTAAGCAAGATGGCTATACCCTCCTTCAATGACAATAGAAAGATCAGTAAATTTTCCTGCCAACATCTGGCCGACCATTGCTGCACGCTTTCCCGAACCACAGTGAATTAAAACCTTCTTCGAAACGAGTTCGGTCAACTCCGCCACCTTTTCTGGATGCTGGTGTAAACTCTCGACTAAACGAACAGATGGAAGATCTAGATGTCCAGCATCCCATTCTTTTTGAGTTCGCACATCAAGTATAACATCAAAGTCTCCAAGAATTGGCTTTGCTTGCACTGGTGTCAAGTTACTGGCCATGTCTAGTTGTTATGCTATTTAGCTTGCAATTTTACTAAAAGAGATAAGATTGAAAATACTGTAATTCATTTAAGATTAAATTTGAGAAGGAGTGTTTGGAAAAGTGATGTTTTACAGTTGATCCTGAATAGCATTTGTGGAGCATATGGATGAAACACCCTTATAGTCATGGATCTGAGAATATTCCGGTAGAAACGTCTTCCGCCCCGATGTTTGAGACCTGGAACGGCTCAAGGGACCCCTAAGGAACAAATTTGGCTTGGGTAGACTTTCTGAATATGGGGCAGTTTTGCGCAATTGACCACGCCCTTTTTTGGCGCTTTCGCGATATCTAGACACACATATCTCCACTTCTGATTGGAGAAAGGAGATCAACTTGGGTATGAAAATGATCAGAATCATCACATTTAGGGGGGTAGAACCTTGTTTCAAAGTCCTCACGCTTAAGGTTGATGAGTTATGTGACCACGCCCTTATACGCTCTCGCGAGTAACAATTATCACACTTATTTCATGATATCTCAGCTTCTGATGGGAGCTAAGAGCTCATCTTGGGCATAAAAATGGTCGGCATCATCACATTAAGTGGGGTAGAGCATGGTTTTAAAGTCTACAGACGTTAGGTTGTTGAGTTATTAGGTCAAAACCTATTTTTACGCTCTCGCGAGCCGGAATTAATGTAGTTTATTACAAGATATCTCAGCTTCTGATGGGAGCTAAGGGCTCATCTTGGGCATAAAAATGGTCAGCATCATCACATTAAGTGGGGTAGAGCATGGTTTTAAAGTCTACAGACCTTAGGTTGTTGAATTATTAGGTCAAAACCTATTTTTACGCTCTCACGAGCCGAAATTAATGTACTTATTACAAGATATCTCAGTTTCTGATGGGAGCTAAGGGCTCATCTTGGGCATAAAAATAGTTAGAATCATCGCATTGAGTGGGGTAGATCATGGTTTTAAAGTCTACAGACCTTAGGTTGTTGAGTTATTAGTCTAAACGTAATTTTAGACTCTCGCGAGTAGTAGTTAATGTACTTATTACAAGATATCTCAGTTTCTGATGGGAGCTAAGGGCTCATCTTGGGCATCAAAATAGTTAGAATCATCGCATTGAGTGGGGTAGATCATGGTTTTAAAGTCTACAGACTTCAGGTTGTTGAGTTATTAGGTTAGACCCCATTTTTTCCCGATCCATGACTCAAAGGTGCCGAAGGCACAAAAGAGTCAAGGACAAGGGTTAGCGATCGAGGTTTTTTTTGTATATGGTAGCTTTGCGACCGTACCTGCGAGCGTGCGAGCGTGCCTGCGAGCGTACGTGTCGCCCACGTGTCTGCCTGCGCAAAGTTATTTTGCGCGATCATCTGAATTAAACAATTGTTGGCGCGCGGTGCTGAAATGTTCAAGTACATTGTTAATTTCACCATGTACGCATCCCGCTAGGGACTAATTGATAGCATAGTATTATTATTTTGAGTTAGTATTACTATTTTGCACAGATCCGTGTCAGGTTGCATAAACAATAAACATATGGTTACATAGAAATATACACGATTTTCAAATTCAATATGGAATTATATCAACTGGGCGGCGCTCGGCCTGTCACTCCGCCATATCTGCATGCTTATAAACAGCAAAGACTGGGGTCCCCAGTACAGGTGGTATGGAATATGATGAAATACTCCATCACGGATCGGGAAATTGAGCGGCCATCCACAAAAGAAAAGCGGCCGCATTTCTTGTTACACATGTATACAAGCACAATATACATTGTACAAGCACTATGTACAAGCAATAAGTTCGAATATAGAGAATGTTCTGACAAGTATTTGTTTTATTCTGATTGGTGAAAGTGTTACTCGCAGCCCATATTGGCACTGGGTGTGACACTCTGTCAAGAATAGGTACAGAATTGGCAGCCTTAAAGGCGATTTTGGAAATGTACCTTGAAGGCTTTGGTAAAGGGGAACTAAATGAAGCTCAGATCAAGAAATGTGAGGAATACTTGGTGAAAGTTTTCAAGCTTACAACAGAGTTTGTCACATTTGATATGTTAAGAGACTATCAATATAGAAATAATGATTCTATATTTGACTTGCCACCAACATCGCACTCTATTGAAAAGTGACACATCCCCAGATGGCACTATCGTGTGATTCTCAATGGGTACTAGAAAATGAAGAACTTTTACCGGTAAAACATCTTCATCTTCTTCCTGAAGAAGTAACAGTCACCCGTCACATGTTTCTGTAAGAACAAAGATATCGACAAAAGATGTGGCGGGAGATGTAAGTTCTCAAAGAAAGGTGTGCTTTGCAATGCTTATCTTTTCTGCCAAAAGATCTGTTGCAACACGGTCAAAGACAGAAGCCCACCCAAGACTCTAAGAGAAAGCAGCCATTGAAACCTTCAACAGTTCAAGAGTACACGTAAAAAGACTAACAAAGAGTAATTTCATATATTTCCTAAGAACATTTAGGTATTGATCAATCATATGAATGAACTGTTACTTGAATATCCCGTAAAACGAAAATCTGACTATTTTAATTGTTATCAAGGGAACGTTTAATGCTATTCATCTAATAAATTATCATCCTATATTGAGTTGTGATTAGGAATTTATTACAATTTACTATACTACAATAGATTAGTGATTTTTCTTTTGCATTCAAGGCCAAAAATAGGGTATGACCTAATAACTCAACAACCTGAAGTATGTAGACTTTAAAACCATGATCTACCCCACTCAATGTGATGATGCTGATCATTTTGATGCCCAAGATGAGCCCTTAGCTCCCATCAGAAGCTGAGATATCTTGTAATAAGTACATTAATTTCGGCTCGCGAGAGCCTAAAATTACGATTTGACCTAATAACTCAACAACCTGAAGTCTGTAGACTTTAAAACCATGATCTACCCCACTCAATGTGATGAGTCTGACAATTTGTATGCCCAAGATGAGCCCTTAGCTCCCATCAGAAACTGAGATATCTTGTAATAAGTACATACATTTTGGCTCGCGAGAGCGTAAAAATAGGGTTTGACCTAATAACTCAACAACCTAAGGTCTGTAGA